GTTAATATATTATTAAAATATAATAAGTATATTAAATAAATTAAAGGGGTAAATTAATTATTTAAATAAGTTAAATTAAATTTAAAATATTATTAAATGCTTTTACCTTTTTATTATTTATATTTAATAAAAGCTTATATAAATATTTAGCTTTATAAATTATTAAATATTAAATAAAAAGCATAATATTTCTTTAATAAAGGAAAGAGGGTAATAATTTTATTAAGTTATCTTATTAAGGGTATAATAATTTATATAAAATTATTATTCCTTATTTATTTTATATATTAAGAAAATTAAGGCTGCTATAAGTAAAAAGCTAATTTTTATTTAACCTTTATTATAAAGTTTAATAATTTATTTTTATAACTTAAATAATTAATCTTAAAGTATATTATATAATAAGCCTTATAATAATATTAATATAAATTTATTTTTTATTAATAATAAATAAATATAATAATTAAATTAACTTTAATATAATAAACGAGTTAAAGTTTATTTTTTATTAAAAAGGTTAATAAAGTTTTATACTTTTTTTAATAAGGGCTTAGCTTTATATTATTTTATATTATTATTATCTTTTTTTTAAAAAGTTATAATTTAAAGAATTTATATAATCTTATTTATATTTATTTTTATTAAGATAATATTTATTATTTTATTATAAGATAAGTAATTTATTTACGCCCTTATAATTACTTTAAAAATTAATTAAATTAAATTATTTATATTTTATTAATTTTTTTCCTTTATAATTATTTTTTAAGCTATATTAATTATTATATAGCTATAAGCTAAGTTTAATAAAATATTATAATAATATAATTAAAATAAGCTTAATAAAAAGGAATAAGCTATATTTAAAATTATATAAGTTAAAATAAAAACTTATTATATATTAATATTTAAGGAAAGCTATATTATATATATAATATATTAACTTTATAATAAGTTAATAATTATCTTTAAATTTCTTAAAATAAATAAAGCTATTAACTTTAATTTTACTTTTTATACTTATTACTTACTTATAATAATATAATAATTATATTTATTATTTACTTAAGTAATAATAATATATTTATAATTTATAATAATAAAAATTAAGAAAAAAAGCTTATTTATTTTATTTTATATTTATTAATATTAGTTTTATATAAATTAAGCTTATAAAAAAAGCTTATACTTTTAAATAAAACTTTACTTAAAAGCTAATCTTTTCCTTTAAAGCTAATAAAATCCTTTTTATAAAATATAGCTAACTTTATAACTTAAACTTAAGTTAATATAATTATAAAAAAAAGTTTATAATTTATTATAAAGTATTCTTATTAGCTATAATATAAGTATGCTTTATATCTTTATTAAGCTTTTCTTTTAAATTTAAAAATTTAAGGTATTTTAGCTTAATTATTAGCTAATTAAAAAGAAAAAGTATTTTAATACCCTTATAGCCCCTTATTCTTAATACTTTAGCTTTTTATTATACTTATTATAATTATATTTATTATTATTATATCTTAATTTATTACTTATTATTTTTAAGTTAAAGACTTTAAAGAATATAAGGTTAAGCTTATATATTATTAATACTTAAGATTTTATATCTTTAATTTATAAGTAATTTAATAATATATATTTATTGCTTTATTATAATTTATATATAAGATTAATACCTTAATAGCTTTATTATAAAGCTATAAAAAAAATTAATTATAAAACTAATTTAACTTTATTTTATTTAATTACTTAAAGCTTTTAATTTATATTATTAATTATTTAAATTAAATATAAAACTAAGCAAAGCTATTATAATTTTATATTTAAAATATTTTAAGCTTAGCTAAAGCAATTATTTATTAATATAAGTTTTTATAGCAATATTTTAAATATTTAAAAAATTTATTTATATTAAAGCTATTTTAAGGCTTGCCTTATTTATAAAATGTTATAATATATAATTATATCTTAATAAATAGCTAACTTTATAAGAAAATTTAATATTTTTAAAAACCTTTAATAAAGTTTATATTAATTTATAATTTATATTATATTATAATCTTTTAAGTTAAAAAGTTATCTTAATTATTATTAAATAAGAACTTAATTAAAAGCAGTTTATATTAAATTAAGAATAAGTTAAGAAAGTTTATATATATTTTAAGCTTTATAAGTTAATAAAGTATTGCTATAAAGAAAGATATAATAATATTATTATTAATATTAATAAGCATTATTATAAATAATTAAGGGAGTTAAAATACTTCTTAAGCGTTTTTATAGCTTAATATTAAAGTAAATTAAGAAATCCTTAGCTATATATTTTATAAAAAGATTAATATTTTAAATATAAGGTTATTTACCTTTATAATATAAATATTCTTTTTAATATAATTTAAAAATTATAATTTAATATTATAAGTTAGCCTTAAGTATTTATTAAAAAGTACTTAAAAAGAGTTATAAATTATAATATTTAAGAAATAAGTTAAGCCTTAAAAAGGCTTAACTTTAAATCTATCTTTTAAGTATATACCCCGTTATATAAGAGGGTTAAGTGCAATATAGGCCCGGCATAAACATGCATTACGGCTTAAGCAATAGCCCAAGCCCATTATAATTTAATAAATAAGCTTTTTTAATAAAAAATAAATATATAAAAAGATAAATATTATAAAGTTTTTTAAGATATATTAAAAACTTTTAATATATTATTTTATAATCATTTTTAAAATAATAATAAAGTTGGTAAGTTTTGGTATAAGACAAGGGTGTGTGCAAGACTCTTTGCGTCCCACTGTAGGTAAGCCAACACTAAAAGCTAGGTAGGCGTATTATGGAAGCTAGGTGGGCATACGCTAACTCGCTCTAACCCAGGGATTGTCTTAAATAACGTCCCCGGCCCCGATCCCGGCCGCCCCCCCTTTTCAGCCGCCCTTGGCACCCATATATGCCTTTTCTTTAACGTTAATTGCCTATTATCATAATATATAATCCCTTTTTTATTAATATTTTTAATTCTTTAAAGGCATTGCTTTCTTTTAATACTTTTTCTACCTTTATTTAAGCCTTATAAATAACCTTAATATTAATAAAAGTTATATTTAAATTAATTTAAATCTTTCTTTTTATAATTTTTTAGCTAATCTTAATTTAAGCTTTTAATTATTAATTTTTTTATAAAGTTATAATTAATTAACTTTATTTTTTATTATATGCTTTAAAAACCTTTTTAAAAAGTATTTATAATATAAAACTTAAATATTTATTATAATGCTAATAAGTAATTAATTAATATAATTTTTATAATTACTTAAAAGTTTTAAAAATAAGTTTTAATTATTAAAAAAAAACCTTAAATATAAAAAATTACTTAATAAAGCTCTTTATTATATTAAATTTTAATAATTTATATTAAACTTAGTAATTTTTAAAAATATAATAACTTTTAAGTGCTTTATACTTAAATATTAGCTAAAGTTTTATTACCCTTTACCTTAAATATATATTTAATTTTATAAGTATTTTCTTTTATACCTTATAATAATAAAAAAAAAATCTTTTCTTTATTATTATTAATAAGGAGTTATATTACTTTATTAAGTATAAATGCTTTTAAAATATTATTTTTAATAAAGAAAATATTAATATATTAAGGGGCTGTAATATATAAAAAGTATATATAAATAAAAAAATTATATATATTTAATATAAAAAGTACTTTTATATAAAGTTAATAATTATATATATATAATGTCTATTTATAATTAATAATTATTATTTAAAAGGGTTTAAAGAAGTAATTTAAGAAATAAATATCTTTTTAAGCTATTTAATAACTATTCTTTTTTTTATTTATTTTTTTTTATTATAATAAATTATTAATCATTATAATCTTTAAGGGTAATAAGAAATTATTATTATTATATATTAAGTTCTTTAAATATAATTAAAGAATTAAGAAACCTACTTATAATAAATATATATTTTATAAAAGAAATTTATATTTTTAAATTAAAGTTCTTTTATAATAAAGGGTTATTATTTAAATAATTAAGAATAAGGGCATTTTTTAAGTAACTTTTTATTAACCCTTTCTTATTAATATTTTAATAATAACTTAATTAAATAAATTTAATAATAAATAATTAAAAAAGATTAAATTAAAATTTAATATTCTTTTTAATAATTAATTAAAGATAAATAACCTTTATATATTAATTTTTTTAACTTTTAAAAATAAAGTAATAAAAAAGAAAGGCTTTTAATTAATTCCTTTTAAGGAAAGGATAGTTTTTATTTAAAAAGGTTAATTAAGCTTTTAAAGCCTTTATTTTAAATTATATTAATGCTAACTTTAAGCTATTTTAATTAATTATAAATAAAGTTAATAAAGCTTTTTAATAATTAAAAAAAAGTTTTTAAAAATTAATAATAATATAATAATTTTAAATATTATTAAAATAATTAAATAATATAGCTTAAAAAATATATTATATTTTAAAGGCTTATTAAATTAATATTTTATTTTTTATAATAATAAAGGTATTAATAAAATTATTTTTAAAGTATTGCTTTATAATAAAGAGAATAATATTTAAGAGAAGTTTAGTAATTAAAAAAAAATTCTTTATAAAGATATTAAGAAGTTAATATAGGGTGGGTGTAAATGCATTTATGCGTATACGCGGGTGTGGGCCGGCCGGGATTAGGGGGCGGCCGGGATCGGGGCCGGGGACGTTAACTACATCTCCGTACCAGGTTGTTCATACCATATTAACAGTGGGGCAAAAAGTGGACAGAGAGCAAAGCACACATTTCACCACGGACTTTTCTTTTTATCATATGGACCAAAGGCCCGTTGAGGAATTTTTTTCATCAGGCACTTGATGGCTTCACAAATTCAATCTTGAGAGTTCAAGTGCATACTTCAGTGTCTCGTCCCTATTTATTGTACCATCCGAGCGATGTGCATCTCGAGCTTGCCTTGGTGCTGTCTATATCAGCGCTATGAACTTCGAATCAAGATTCCTAATCCAGTTGGGGTCCTTAATAAGCCCCTGTCCAACCCTCTGGAAAACGCGACCCTTGAAAGGATGACCAGGCGCTGGCTTCACCATCAGGACGTAGTAGACCAGCGTGCGCTCGAAGCGCATGCGCAGGGCGTAGACATTTATGAGCCAGAATCGGCAGGGTCTATCCTCGGCGACATCATGTGCTAGCCATCCCGGAAACATTGCCCCATCATTCGTATAGAATGAGTCCAGTACTTGCGTGCTCTGGTATCCATGGCCACAGCGCCTGGTCACGGGATCGTCTTGGCCTGCCGCTGTCTGGAAAGCCCCGTGTGCTGAGCACTTGAGCGAGACCCCCGAGACCAGGAGAGCGCGGCGTGGGGGCAGGCCTGCAGGGCGGTGCTCAGCCACCCGCAGTATCCTGAGGTCATTCGGGTCAGGGTGCCGTTCGTCGGGGTCGCGGTAGCATTGGCCGATGAACTCGATTTCACCGTCTACAGATGCCCAGGACCACGAAGGCGCACGGTTCTGAGGTGGTCTGGTGAGAGTGCTATCTTTGTACGCCATCCAGAGAAGTCCGTCGAGCACATGAGGGCTGTTGTCGAAGTAATGCCCTTCGTGGAATGGGTTGCCGAGCATATTTCCAAGCGCCAGTGAGAGGGAGAGGAGCGCAGGTAACTTTTCCCCAGGCCTGGTCAGCCCACACCTGGAGTAATGCATGACGATTTTGGCCCAGGTGGTGTGTACGCCATTAAGTAACTTGAACTGTTCCTCCTTGTTTCGCTGCGGCGTGCGTTGAAACTCTCGGAAGTCATCAACCAAGCATAGAAGGGACCTCGTAGGGAAATACATGTCCGCGCGATGTTGTGCGTTGGAATGGTCTTCGCCCACGGAGATCTTGCCACACTCCCAGTACATCTGGTCTGCGGCGAAGTGAATCGTCCGCCTGGAGAAGAGGTGTTCTTGTAGCACCCATCCCCGCCGGTTGAGAGGCCCATTGAACACATTGTCTCGTCGTCTTCTTGGATGATGCACAAGTAGTCAACCCATAGGTAGCGTATTCCCAGTGAGTGTGTGATACACACCGCGTCCTGAATTGTCTTCGAGAGTGCCCGCGGGCTGATATGCTTCAGGTGCTCACCCAGAGTTGACCTGACCTCGTCGTCCGAACCGGTGAATGAACGCCCCAACAGTGGCTCACTGCCACGTACTTGGCCCGCCTACCGCCAGAAACCACGAGACGTAGAGAATGAGGGTAACGCGATATATCGATGACCCTGGTGGGAAGTTCCGGAGGTGACTGCATGGGGCCACCAGAAAGACTGGAGCGGCACTGCGGGTGGTCGTCTTCGCATCCCTTCAGCCAGGTCTTGATGGTGGCCATTGATGCCCGGGACCCTGCAGGGCTGATCGGACGTAGCGTGACATATTGACTGGCAAGTGACGCTGCAAAACTGTGAGCGTGAGAATCATACTTCACATCTCGTTCCGGCAGCAACTGACCTTCGTCGGCGTAGCAATAGATTATAGCCATTGGGTCCTCCATCTTGCGCTTTCCGTACTCAGGGTACACCCAAAGGCAATCAAGCTTGTCACCGAGGTCCTCGCAACGGTCCATGGACACAAATTCAGCATTCGCCGGCACAGCCTTTGCTATTTCTGTACACAACAATCTGCACATTGAGCATGTAGAGATCATGGCTCTAAGTCGCTCAATATTGAAAACCAATGGAGGGGTCTCGAGATAGGCCTCGGACAGTTCTTGTTCATCTAAACAGGCAAGATTGCTCTTCAAAGAAAGGTCCGCGCATTTAATTAACGTCTTGAGGACCAGGGCCTGGCATCCGGGGCATGGCTTGTCCAGACTTGCAGCTGGCGCCGCGCTGGTCATGGCAGGTTGCTTGACTTCGCCACTATCTATGACGAAAGACTCGGTGGTGGTTGTGTGATTCGGAAGCGACTTGTGAATGCGAAATAAGGACCCCGAAAGAGAATACATACGTTCATACAACGACTGTCCTGACTATGCAAGTCTGAGTGGATCGATGAGGGGGCCGGCCGATGATGGCACACGTGTCGCTACTACACCAGTTCCGTATCTGGTGTAGACCCACATGATGGAATGTGACATGATTTTAGACTAGCCAACTGACGCATAATACCGGGTAACGACAAATTACACGCATCAGGTGAGCACCGAAAACCATGCCTTGCGCAACTTCAGCTGTTGGGCTGTCTCTGCGTGGCATGAGGAATTCTCCATGGGTTCATTCCGGGCATTACAGAGACGGGCTCCTTTTCCAATTCCAGTCATACCGGGCTTGTGACAGGACGGAGGGAATAGTGTTCATGGTCGTCTACCAATATCTGCTTTCAAATTGTGTCTATTGAGATACTCCGCCATTCCGAAATCTATCCAACAGCGGGTAGCAACAGGATGATATTCCATGCACGAGACTTATCCCACGAATGGAAGGCTCCTCTTGGCCGTCTCCTTGCTATCGCATGGGATGTCGGAAATAACAGCAAATCGGCTGACCACGAGGTCATGGTACCAGTACACCTGTTGTTGGGGCTCAGGCGTCAGGTTTGGGAGAGCATCTACACTCTTGTTTGTCTTCAAGACTGTGTACTGAGTTTGGTAGCTACGGGTGTCAAAGTTAGAAATAGGGCACAAAGGTGCGGCCGGGGAATTGATCCTTACTAGAGCTGAGAGCAATTGCTGATAGGCGCCGGGTAGGTCTGTTCCATGCGGCCCCATGATTCGTACGTTGTGGCGGTGTCGTTATTCGATGCGACAAATGTCTTGTTTGGGAAGTGCTAGACGATCAATCATTAGTTCGCTGATGGCTCAATTCATATCCAAGTGATAAAGACCTACCACGAGCTCCCTTCCATTAACCAGGAACGCCTCCTTGCACTTCTGGATTCCCGCGGCACCGACGCAGTGAATAGTCTCGGTAGTCTGCATGCCATCGGCGGGGAAGTAGTCGGTGTAGCCGGTCGTGACGCTGCCGTCCTCGGCTGCGTTGACGAGACTGTGCTTGCGAGTCAGTAATCGCGTGGTCGCCGTCGCGTTGTGGAGGTGAAAGCACAGGGGAGGACTCACGCTTCAAGGAACGGCTTGACCTCCTCCGGAAGTCCGGGCTGTGGGTCCCAGTCCGCGAAGTTTATGGCAGCGGCTAGTTGTGCCGTGGCGAGGAGGAGTGTTGTGGCGAGCATGGTGAAGTCTGTGGGTGGTGGACGAGGAGAGACTAGGCGATCGACGGGTGGGAATTTAACGACAGTATGCGATCGATTCGATGGACGTTGAAGTGATAAAGGTGGAGGTGCTTTCACTCTGGAGTTCTTTGCATTCTCTTTTATGTTGAATGTGTGCCTTTTAATGGGGCGTAGCCGAAACTCTATTGCCCCTAATGAACGTGCCACTATTCAGATTGAGTGCCTCGGGCCACGGGCATTTGCTTGGCACCAGCTCAGCCCTGTTTCTATTCATAGCCGTCTAAACCCGTCAACATTAAGCTTCGCCCTTGCAAGGGCGCAAACCAATTTCCGGGGTTTCTTGGTTAGACTGTTATACGGCATGATACATGATTGGAATATTCAGCCACGACCCTTCAACAGTAACTTGAAGTTCAGAGTTCACAGTCCATACTTAGCTGCTAGTTTTTGGTCCACAGCGAACACCATCTTCCCGTTGATGTTCTGACCTGATACAAGTGACTGATGGGCCTCGATGGCGGCTCTTAGTGGAAGAATTCGACACATTTGAGGGTCCAGTTTTCCGGTTCGGACCTTGCCTAGTATCGACGCAAAGTCTTTTATGAAAACATCTCTTATCTTCAGGTAGTAACCCGTCATCAGGTTAAAGAAGCTTGTTCGAGGTGGCAGCCGGGAAGATAATATTTCGTCCAAGTCAATCTTGCCCGCACGCAGACCCTTGCCGCCTTCATCAATCTCGGCCATCACTCCAACCACTACCACCCGACCTGAGCCAGACTTTGTCGCCTGAAGGCTCTGTAGGACACTTTCTTGGCTTCACACAGCATCGTATGCAACATCTACCCCCGCCCCGTTCGTCAATTGCTGAACTTGAGAAATAAGATCCGGGGCGTGGCGATTGATTGGTGTGACTCCCAGAGATTTGACATAATCAAACTTGGAGGGTGAGCAGGTGCCGATCATTTTGATTCCCAAGTCAAACGCGTGGACGAGTTGTGCCAAGGCAGTACCAAGTCCACCACTAACAGATCCGATTAGAATGCTGCAGCCTGGCGACAATTCCACTCCAGAGTACCGAATCATGCCCCAAGACGTCATGTAATTGAGGGGCAGAGCTGTGACCTTGACGGGGTCGTCCTCCGGATCAAGTCGGAAAAGCTCCGTGGTGGGCAAGATAATGTGGGTAGCGTGTGAACCAACGACGCACATTGATGCGACAAGATCACCATGGGAGAAGCAGTGGGCCGACTGAGACAGAGAGCCAACGGCGATGACCTCACCAACAAGGTCGTAACCGGGTGTAAAGCCTGGGCTCGCAGTTCGGGGATCAGGATATCCGTCAACTCGCTGCGTGTTGTCTGGACCTGCAATGTCAGCTGCAATAATTCTGACCAGAACTTCGTTTGCGGCAAGTTCACGTCGAAACTACATGTCTCCCAGCGTAGAACTGACGGATCTCCGAAATTTGTGACAACCAATCGTCCTTGTCGGTCAGGGGTGGGACTGGTGTTGTTCTTTGTGGTAGTTGATGGGGAGGATGAGAAGATGTGCCCAAAGACGAATCACGCCAAGGACGAACATCGTCAGCTACGACTTCATAATGCAAGCTGTGATGTCAAGTCGGACTAACAACCCTCCTTATGATTGATAATCCTTTGACTTCGTTGTTCTATTTGGTTCCTCATAATGTTATAGCGTCGCTACTCTGTCCCTAGTTGACGCCAGCTCTGCGCCGATCGGAGGCATGATCCACTCGGCTTTTATATGTTTTTTTGGCTCACCGTGATCCGCACTCCCGCGGATCGCGCGGGGGAGGTTTTACACACATTTTCACGGTCAAACAACTCGTTACTTGCGTGAATGAGTCTTGCGGGACTCTGGACCTTGTTACCTACCAACATAAGACTTGTAGTTACAGACTTAATTCAACGTGGAGCATTTGTACGATTTAACCAGCAATATTGCCTATGCATACATAAATCGCCTTAGACTCATCCCCCCAGTACTCATTAGACAACAGATCCTTTTGAACGTGCAAAGGCAAATCGGCTTTTTTGTCGGAATGCATTTAAATGCACAACTAAAATATTTTTTCGGCCTGATCTCCCAAGGCCATCATGATTATGTCAGTCGAGGTCCCATCCTGTCATGCAAAATGCAGGCCGGAGACACAGTGAACACCAATTGGGGCAGAATATACCAGGGAAGCCGAGAAGGTCTCAATCTCACGACCACAACGTACACATCAAGCTCCTGGATACACATCAAGCTCCTGGACTTGTTGGTCGCGGGAAATTCGACAGCCATGCCACAAGAGAAGCCACACGGTCCATCCACAAAGTTTCTCGCCGCCATGGCACTATCAGACACAGTACGGTTGACGCCGACAAGGCCACATAGGTCTGGCCCCAAGGAGGTGGCATCAGTTGCAGAGGGGCCCAAGGCACCAGCACCGGTCGTACAGGGCTCAAGGGGCCGCAGCAGGAAGCAACGTGAATGGGCGAGGCCTCTGAGAGAATGCCTGTGTGTCTCAGTGAATAGCTCTAGAATCTACCCTATATATATTTAATCCGGTCATATTTCATTCCACTTACTCAGCAGGAATATAGAGCATCAGCAGACCAAAAACCACGGTTAGGTCAATGGTCACCCTCAACGATGCATGAAGCCTAAAGGACTGACTTGGCAGAAGGGACAATATTGGCCGATGCAGGGTAGAGAAAGTGTGACAGATCTTGTCCTATGAAGATGGTTAGCCTCTTTACCAACAATGCCTAGGAGGGCAACAAACATTGTTGGTCACAGTGCATGATTCCACCATATTTGCTCGACCGGACAAGATCACAGTCTGTGCACATCAGGACAGCCGAATCCTGACAATGTGAGAAAACGTGAGTTGGTGCCCTCAGGTGAGTGGGACACTCAGGTACCTAAGTACTTAAGTAGGGAGAAAACACAAGCATCGGCGAGGCCGCACCCAACTGCTTCCTCCAGTGCAAACCTCGTCTTTTTAACCCCCGCCTACAACCCAACCCTTTCTTTCCACCTCTTGTTGCTGGGATCAGCGTCTCTGCAACGTGGCTAATGGGCTTGCTGAAACGCGCTTGACCTGGCTTACCATTATTACTTACTGAAGATGTCATCTCTACGCCCTGAGCCGATGTTTGATGCCATCACAATCACCGCTGATCAACTGCGTCAGCGCTTGGACAAGGGCTCCATCAACAGCGTGCAAATCGTGGAGCTGTATCTGTACCAAATCCAGAGACACAACACGCAGGGTGCGAAATGCAGGGCTGTGATTTCTACCCCGCCAAGGATCCAGCTGATTTCATGGGCTGCGAAACTTGACCAGGAGAGACAACAAGGCAGTCTTCGAGGTCCCCTCCACGGGATTCCAATCCTGCTCAAGGTAAGAACGCACCCAAGGGCATTCACCTTTAAGATCTATTAACAAATCTTATCTCTGTCAGGATGTTTTCGCCACTGACGTGTCCCTTGGTATGCCAACTACTCTGGGCTCATATGGTCTCCTGGATGCTTGTCCGTCTGGAAACTGCGACGTTGTTAACAATGTAAGTCGCGATTCATGGCGCTGAGAAGCATTCTGACGTCCCAGTTGATCAATTCCGGCCTTATTATCATGGGCAAGACGAATATGACTGTGAGTCACAGCTTGTGTTTGGTCAGAGTTGGCCTTTCGGAGACATTTTCTTTTTTTTTTTGCTGACGATGAACAGGAGATGGCCGGTCACAAGTGAGTCAAGCAAATAAGATCGGCCCAAGTGTAAATTCACCGGGCAGACTAAAACGGACTTGACGCAGGGGCCGGGCTGGTTGGTCAGCAGTTGGCGGTATGTGCCAGCCGGCGTATATCCCCACCGGGTACAAGCTCGGAGACAAGCGTAAAGGCGAGACTGTAAGTAGCTTTCTTTTATATTATCGCTCCTTTGTACTTACTGATGAATGACCACTCAGACCCCCCAAGGCTCTTCGACCGGCTCCGCGGTTGGGGTCGCCTGCGGATTCGCCCCCTTGGCTCTCGGCCACGAGACCACTGGCTCCTTGGTGTCGCCGTCAGCGGTGGCCGGTCTATATGCCTTGAAGCTCACACCCGGGTCAACTTCGCTACGTGGAATTCTGACACTGACGCCTTATTTTGATACCGTCGGTGCTATGGGCAAGTCTGCCCTTGATGTTGCCCTCGCATGTGACGCTCTGTTGGCTCGAAAGGAGACGCCAAGCCTGGCGTCCCTGGCGGCATCCGCAAGTTTGAGCGAGATGGCCATCGGCTTCCTCGACATTGAGAAATGGCGCTTGCCAGCTGAAGCGCAGAATCCTGACCCAAACTACTACAAGGAGACGGTATGTTTACTCACGTCCCGCCTCAGTGAAGTCTTCATTGCTGAATTGGCTATTGAAGGCGGAGGAGTACTGGCTTGCCAAGAAGTGCCTGCAGAGCAACGGCGCAAATATCATCGACATAGATATCGAAGAGCCGGAACATGTTCCAATCGGTGACACAAACATCGATGAATTGATGTACACTATTATCAGTGGGTTGCCGTGTTTGAAACGCCATGGACGCAATATGATTTTACTGACCCAACTGAACGGAGTTCAAGACCAGGAAGCGAAGTCTGGTATTGATCAGTTCTTGCAGTTCTTTGAGTATTCCAAGGTCCGGAATTTGGACGATCTGGTGAAGTTCAATGACGAGCATGCCGACGCTGAATTTGACAAAGGTTCGTCCATCATTCCGAGTCATTACGGGTGACCTCGCTAACTAATTATGTCGTCGTATGCGCAGACTACTGCCCCAACCAGGACAAGCTTCTGAGTCTAATAGAGACATCTCGGCCGGGAAAAGACCAAACCGCACGACTGGACAGCTGCAAGAAATGGGCAGCAACGGACGGCATCGACAAGGCTGTATCAGAGCACGGTGTAGATGTGGTGGTCTGCGCTTCCGACAGCTTCTTCGCGGCCGTCTCGGTTGCAGCGCGTAGGTGTCTCTTCCTGCCACTCCATCAGCTTTTTCTGTGCTCACACTGTCTTGTACTCTTAGGCTACCCCATGTCAACTATGCCGTTGGGCTACGTCTCAAGCAGTGGTAGACCCTACGGCTTGCAAGCTGTCGCGCAGGCCAATGCGGAAGGCAAGTTAGTCAAGCTCATGGCTGCGTGGGAGAGCATCCGCCCACCGCGGCGTGTCCCTGATTTGGAGGCTTGCGAAAAGGCTCGCGCTACTTGGTGATAAACAGTCATCACTCGTCTGATAGCGATGAGAAGATGAATTGCAGTCTCAAGTCCAGAGGGTAGAATAGATACCGAAGAATGGATACCGATGAGGGCCCCTGCCAAGTTGATATCCTTGGCCCGCATTGACCACTCTCCAAATGTTCGACTTTGTATTGACAGAAGTAGCGACAAGGTGTGGATCACGACTTTGACTGTGCCAGCTTGGAAACAATGCTGGATACCCCCACAAAGTTAAGCTCCTCCATAGTTTCCTCCCAGAGTCGATTCCTAAACTCAATACCCTCTGCAGTGTAGTAAATCGCAGGAAACGGCTTGATGGTCCAGTCACTGACAAATGACCCATGGCTCTCCCTTCCTTGCACAACGACCCCATCGACGTAGGTATCCGCGCCCCATTCCAAGCTCCGCCCCGTGATCCCCACGAAGATCCGGAAGGGCAGTGACACCTGCGTGTCCCTACCTATGTCGGTACTGGCCGTCAAGCCAGGGTTCACCGTATTCACAATCACCCCGTCCGGGTTGATATTCTCAGCCAGCTTCGAGATGAATCCTACGAGGAGGAACTTGGTCGCCGAGTACTGGTCCATGGTGTCGTACTTGGCCGGGTTAGCGAGCCGTGGCAGGATCGGCCCACCAGCGGGATCGACGCTCGCCCAGTACTGCGTATCCGAGCCGATGACACTGAGCCTCCCTGGCTTACCCGGCGCTCTCTTTTCCCACAGAACCGGTAATAACAAGATGGAGAGAAGAGCTGTTGACAGGTAGTTCACCTGGAACGTCGTCTCGTACCCCGTCTGCTCGTTTTTGGTGAGCTTTGAACTCTGCACGCCGGCGTTAAGGATCGCTATGTCCAGCCGCTGTAGCTCGTCTCCAACACACCGCTTGACGAACGCGTGGATGGAGGCGTATGAGCTCATGTCCAGCAGCCAGACCTCGATCTTTGCGGCCGGGTTCTCATTGCGCAACTTCGCGGCCGCCGCGTTGCCCTTTGCCTGCGAGCGCACGGCGAGGATGAGGCGGGAGAGCCCTAGCCCTAGGAGCTGGCGGCTTGTCTCAAAGCCCAGGCCTATGTTTGCCCCGGTGATGATGGCTGTCTGGCCGGAGAGGTCTGCTTTGATGGGCTTGGGGCGATAGAAGAACTGGCGGTAGAGGAGCCCGAGGAGGCTGGTCTCCCAGCGGGCGTCGTTCTCCAGGTGCACGGACATGGCGACGATGTGATTTGGGGATGTTTGGAGTTTAGAGTTGGCTTATTTGCATGAGTAGGCCGCCAGTGCCCGCCCGAATATTTATGGCTTGCAGGGTGGTAGTGGCTTGATGACCACTCGGGTCCGAGACTCGCCTCCGGGTACCCGCGTGGATCTAGATAAGCTGATTTGTGACGGCATCTTGAGAGGAGCGGTTGACTCCAAGTGCGACTTGCTCGTGTGATGTTAATCCAGGCTCGGCCTTGGTCTGAAACATTGAGCCGTCCGGTCCCCGGGTTGGTCCAGGCGCGTCATGGATTACCAATCTAGTCCTGCTGTGTGTGGAAAACGAAACGCTACCCCCCCCCCCTGCAAATTTAACTCAGTGTCCCCCCCCGCACAGAAAAGAAGCCCTCTTCGCGCGCGCGCCAGCGCAGCGTATTCGCGTTTTCTGCTTACTATGAAAATATTATAACCTCCTGTAACTAAGCGCGCCTATATAGCGTTTTTATACTTTCTTTATATATAATGCATACCTTATATTTCTTACCTTTCTTATTATTACTTATATTATTATTATAATTAAAAGAGTATAAAAAATATTACTTTATATATAAATAATAATTTTAATTATAAATCTTTTCCTTTTGTTATAAAAGGTAAAGAGGAAAGTAAAGAGGAGGAGGAAGGTAGCGCAAATGCTATATAGTCGCCCGCGCGAAGAAGGCTTTTTTCTTATGCGGGGGGGGGGGACACTGAGTCAAATTTGCAGGGGGGGGTAGCGTTTCGTTTTCCACACACAGTGGCTCGGACTTCGTCGCGTCCCGTGATTTGCGGTCAATCTTTTGGCTAGTGCATTTGACTGCGGACCTCTGCATTGCAATAGTTATGTGTTTGATCTGTAGAACTTCAGCAGTTATTTTATGCCCTGGCCTTCATAAAATTTTGAACTACATTCAACGACTTTCTGCTCTGGTATTCAAAGGATGCCGGGGTTGAGGAACAAAGTGACAATCTTCATGCCGGAGTTAAACGGGGCTGCTTCCGGTGATATCTCATTCACGCTTCCATTCGCCGGCGAATACCTACACAAACGTCCCGTGAAAGACGGCTTGGCATGATCGAGTTGCAACAGTCTCTGGAAACTTGTCACTCAGAAAGAGAAGACAAGGGCCTGCTTTCCTTCACAATAGTAGCATGAGGTGACACCGGTGCTTCAATCATTGTACCCCCATCCGATACACATTTGGTTCCAACTGCCCAACATCTATGATACAGCATCGTGGGCTCATCCCCCCCCCCCCCAAAAAAAAAGGAAAGAAAAGACTTGTCTTAGTCAGCCATCTTGGTGAACTCATCGGAAGAGCAGCAATGTCATCGCGGAATCAAGGCAGTGCCGCCTCTGAAAGCCGCCTCGAGGTTTTTAATGAAACGCCACAACTGGGAGCCGCCTAGCTTCGCGCGTCACGAATTCGCCAACACACAGCTTCCCTTGACCACTAGTTGATGAGCGCGGGCCACCTGGAAACTCGGCGCAACGTTGCCGCGGAGAGGCACATCGAGGCAAAGCGGTCAGTAATTATGCAAAACCGCGAACATGGCATCCTACGACGTCAGCATACGCACGGCTTCAGCGACGGGAGTTTGCGCGATCACGAGCCGCTTATCAAAAACTAAATTGATCTCTTCATCCAGCGACTGTACGAACATGGCGTTGTACAGGGAAAATTTGTGAACATGGCTGCCTGGTATAAGTACACCACGTTCAATATCATTGGCGATCTGGCTTCTGGGGAGCCTTTTGGCTGTCTGAACAACTCTAACTATGATTCATGGGTGCGGTCAATCTTCCAGATGGCACGACTGGGTACCTTCATCCAGTCATCGAGCGACTACCCACTAATCCAGAAATCATCACGTTCAATGGCACTAAAAAGTGCGAAACTTGATCGCGAGCGAACATGGAGTTTACCAAAGCCAAGTCAATGAAGCGCATAAACTTGGAGCATAACGCCCAGACTAAGTAGGAGGCTCATTAAAAAACAAAGACAAATCGGTATTACTTCTATCGTGGACTCCAGTTAGCTAGCCATGTTACTGACTACCGCAGGAATCGAAATTAAGGGATGTTCAGGCGAACAGCAGTATTCTTATTGCGGGCGGCTCAGAGACAACCGAAACCTCGCTCTTCGGAGTGACCTATTCCCTTCTCAAACCCTCTTCAGCGATGGACAAGCTCAAAGCCGAAATTCGATCGGCTTTCAGCCTCGAAGACGAAACCCACTTTCGAGCGGCCCGCAACTTGCCGTACCTGTCGGCGTGCCTTGATGAAGCTTTGCGGATGAATAAGGAACCGTTCATCGTATTCGTATATGCCCGGTACTGATCTAGCGTAGCATCGTCTGCACGAATTGAATTGTCCACAGTGGAAACCTTCACGGTCTGGACGAACTGAAATGCCCGTGGTCCCGATAATATCTTGGCGTGGATGAATTGAAATAACCGCAATCCGAAAACAACCCCCCCCCCAAAACCATTAACCTCGCCGCATGAGGCCATACTTCCATTTTTCAAGGGGTTCCTCCTCGGAAACTTTTTGCACGGGCACTCGACTCGTCCGATTTTCAGATATAAGATGCTCACAAGATGCTCGGACGACTTCGTGATGAGAAACATATTTTCGAGACCAATCAAACAGGCTTTATGAAGCTGTGCCAACGGCTCTTGCCTCTTCGTTTACTATGGCAATCCTAACGCTCCCTATCTTCGCAATCGCGGTCTTGTCTCGGCAAGGTTGTGCCTCTGAAACGGAACATAAGTGTAAGCACTGAAAAAAAATCACTTGTTACTTACCATTTAGCATAGGCCCCGGAAGACAGCTGTTGGCCTTCTCCTTTATCGTGGCACGCTCTCAACGCCTCTATATCTGGCCAAGTCATCGCCGTCCAACCATTAGCTATCTCATGTTATCCAGGGCCCCTGTTCAACAACGACACATGCGCCGCGGTGAACTCGCAGTGGGATAAGTGCGCCTGGCAAGCAGAGTAACCTGCTGGATTGTGCCAGGAGTCTGACGACCTGACGTGTCCTCCAGTCATTCCGCCAGCCGGGTCCGGAAAAAATTGCACTATTGGGAACCATCCCAGATATGCGATCAACGCGACTTCACCCGAGCACGTTGCAGCTGGCATCAAGTTCGCTGGAGAGAATAATGTCAGGCTCGTTGTCAAAGCCACTGGCCACGATTTACTTCGACGGTCTCAAGGGTTCGGGAGCATGGAGATCTGGATGAGGTATTATCGCACCGGTCTGGACTGCCTGAACGCCAATTGGACGGGCAGTGCCTTGAGAATTGGTGGAGGTTATCAGTGGAGCGATGTGTATGCCGAAGCACAAGCACACAATGCCATCGTGGTTGGTGGAGGAGCGCCATCAATCGGTGCCATCGGTGGCTGGTTGCAAGGAGGCGGCTACGGACCGGCTACTCATCAATACGGTATAGGGGCAGATCAAGTCCTGGAAGCCGAAGTTGTCCGGATCACCACCACCGCCATCTGTGGCACTGATCTCCACATATACCATGGAGTACTTGGCAGCCAGGAGGTGCCATGGACGGTGGGCCACGAAGGCATGGGTATTGTAGTGGAGACCGGATCCGCGGTCACGAGCATCAAGGAAGGGGATCGTGTTGTCATCAGCGCAGTACAAGCCCCCGGGCATCTGCTGCTCGAGCCCACCATCGGGGGAGGCGCTCCAATATTCGGGGGCGGCAAAGACTGGGGAGATCTCGGGGGAACTCTAGGTACGCGTTCACCCTCGACTCTTGGACACCTCTCAGCACCCAATGTTATAGACTTGTGATACTAACCTAATGCCAGCCGAATATGTCCGCGTGCCCATCGCAGACGAGACCTTGATGGAGGTAGGGAACCCGCAGATCCCGGACAGGGAACTGCTCTTCCTCTCGGATATCTTCGCCACGGGGTGGGAGGGCCTCAACTACTCAGGCTTCCAGCCAGGCGACGACGTAGCCGTCTTCGGCGCGGGGCCCGTCGGCCTCATGTGCGCATATAGCGCCAAGCTCCGCGGCGCAAGCAGGGTGTACAGCATCGACCACGTCCCCTCGCGCCTCGCGAAGGCCAAGTCGATCGGCGCCATACCGATCAACTTCACCAAAGGCGGGCTGCCATCGGAGCAGATCCTCAAGCTGGCGCCGGACGGGGTCACGCGCGTGTGCGACTGCGTCGGGGAGAGTGCGTCAACGAGAAGCTCGAGCCGGACCAGGCCTTCGTGCTCACCGAGGCCGTCAAGATGGCGTCTGACAAGGGCGGCATCGGCGTCTGAAAAGGGCGGCATCGGCGTCCCGGGCGTGAACATCGCTCAGCCGGACAGCAAGGGCACGCCGCGGGAGTCGACCATCGCGCCGGATATCAAGTTTCCCTTGTCGCTTTTCTGGGGCAAGTCGCTGAGCATGAGGGGAGGTAGTGCGGATATCCTGACAGTCGCGTCGATGCTGTTTGAGCTGGTAACGAGTGGAGTTGCGAGGCCTGGTTTCGTCGTGAGCAAGGAGTATATTGGGCTTGAACGCGCGCCTGAGGCGTTCCGGAGATTTGACCAGCACCTGGAAACCAAGGTGTTGTTCAAGCTCCCATGGTATGACGAGCATAGGCAGAAGAGAAAGAGTACGGGCGAGGAGGATACCGCACTCGGCCGAGAACACGAAGCTAGTAGTAGAGAACTCGATCCCCATGGATCCGGCAGGTCCACCAGGTAAGCAAAAGTTGCCCGATAGGCACCTGCGACATTCCACTGCTCTTGAAGAGAGACATTCGACACTGACAATCCGTTTACAGTCGAAGGAGGGCTAATAAGCGTGCTCGGCATTTCCACTGATCGGTCGTCAGCGCACGTGGCCCGAGTCCCGAAGGATGCGCAGTCTCGTTACAAGGCGTTATGCACTCAGGCGTTCCTCGTTGCCAAGGATTCATTTCGGAGGTTTCCACTCTTTTTTAGGCAGCCTAGAAAAGACCGTCTTCTATAGGCTGGAATTTTGTTATAACCCCTAGAAAATGCCCGCTCTCTCGGGAAGGAAGACGCGTAGTGGAATAGTAAGTCTTCCCCCTGTAGCTGAATGTGGTATGGCCGAGTTCCATTTGGCTTATGCCCAGCCTACCCAGAACAGACTGAAAGTGGTTAACGCTAGGTAAGGGGCCCCACCCTTCTCATTTACCGTCCAGTAGGAGGATTCGATTCACACTTCGCGTGACCTCGGACTTGGGAAGTCAGCAGAAGACTTTTCTTTTTGCGAACACAGTCGAGTTCTAGAAGGAAGGATTCAATACAAGGCTGCCTGGACCAGCTAGACGCTCCCAGCCGTTCCCCGGATCTCCAGTTCCAGCCGGAGTGGCCCGAAGGAACCGACAAAAGGTGTCATTAGCTCATATAGTCTATTCCTGTCCTGGCAATTGCACTTGGCTATAGAGACTATAAGATCAAGTGTCGTGAACTCTTCTTTTCCGGGTATTCCGCTCACTCTACCCTGACCATCCCACCAGCCCTCAACACACCGGCATATAATATCGCAGCCATGCGCTCCAAGCTTCACGTTGTCGCCACTATGCTGGCTCTGAGTCTCGACGTTTCGCCAGCGTCCGCTGCTCTTAACTTAGTACGGACCTACAGTGGCTCGAACTTCCTCGACCAATTTTACTTCAGAGATGTAAGTTCCATTACTCTCACCTGAACACGGCCCAGCATTTCAAACTGATCACGTTGTCCTGTTATAGACAGCCTATTTCCACAGCATAGGCATTGAGTCGGGTGACCCAACAGATGGCTTCGTGGACTACCAGTCGGCGTCAGCCGCATCGTCCAAGGGCCTGACCAAAGTCCAGTCAAACGGCCAAGTATACATCGGCGTGGATTCCACCACCAAGCTGTCAACCTCAGCCCAAGGCCGAGCGTCGGTGCGCCTGGAGTCCAAGGAGACATTTGGCACAGGGTCTCTCTTGGTGGCCGATATTGCGCACATGCCAGCAAACCAGTGCGCTGTCTGGCCAGCCTTCTGGTCGTACAACTTCGGGGAGAACCCCATGGGCGAGATCGACATCATCGAGGGAGGCGGCGCCGCTGGGTTGCAGGAGAGGAATATCGTGTCGTTGCATACCTGCAGTGCCTGCCAGTTCACGAAAATTGGAGGCACAGATGAGAGGGCGAACTGTGCACTTGGTGGGGACTGCAGTGATGCTTCAACCAACTGGTAAGAAATCTTGTTCACTCGACGAGATAACCAGAAACTCACGAATTGTGTCTAGGGACGGATGCGGCTCAACAGGCAACGCCCAGTCATACGGCGACGCCCTGAACTCCGCAGGAGGCGGCGTCTACGCCACCTACCTGCAAGACAACCGGCTGCGCATCTGGTCGTGGCCCCGGGCCTCCGTCCCGGCGGACCTGACCAGCGGGTCCCCCAGCCCGGAGGGCTGGGGCACGCCCTCGTCGGACTTCAAGACGTCCGACGGCGGCTGCAACATCGGCGACAACTTCCAGGCGCAGACCATCATCATCAACACCGACTTTTGCGGCTCCATGATCGACGAGGGCACGTGGAAGGCCGTGACGTCGTGCAGTAGCCAGGCGAGTACCTGCGCCGCGTACGTGGCCGGCAACCCCGGCGCCTTTGCCGACGCGTACTGGCTGTTCAACTCTATCAAGCTCTACCAGTCGTAGGTAGCTTTCAAATACAATCTTTTTTTCCTTAAGAAAGAGCTCTCCCGTCCGCAGCCTGTGTCTCAATGGTTTTTACCATACTGCAGGTTCTGTGACATGCTGTGGAACTACTTCCTCGGTGATTTGAAGCTGACTCTAAATGCTGAAGGACTGGTAACAACGTCAGCCTCGACGGGAATTGTGGCGGCACGACTGCGCAGACGTGTCAGGGGTCCGAGTTTGGGAACTGCTGTAGCCAGTATGGTTACTGTGGAGCGTCGGACTTGTACTGCGGTACTGGATGCCAGCCAGACTTCGGTACATGCACTTGAGCGCGTACATGTAACCTAGGGACCTTGTACATAGTACCTAAAATTTAATGCACGCATATTGGAGACTCTATCCAGTCACTGGAAATTTTTATCAACGTGTAGATATGATTTTCAAATCGCACAAGCATCACAATACCTGGCTCACAAGTCTGTTCACTACGGAGCCGATGATCAGTGAGGTCTACGTCTTTCGTAAATCTCTAAATAGAATTGGAGAAGCTCACATTCCGAAAGAAAAACTTGCTCTTCGCCCGTGCAGCTGCGATCACGGATATGCCAACAGTCAACCCCCTTCTTACGAGCCAAACTAGATAGGTTGCCAACGTTTGGAAACCGGGACGACACGGGTAAGATCCATATCCACTCCGAAAATCACACAACGAATAAGTCCTTCACCAAGGGGTATCCCACCACCGTGGTGGATAACGGTCAAGTACCAATAGTATCCGTTCCCCACAGGCCATGTGGACACCATCCCCTAACCGTAGCCCGGCGCAGTACTTCGAGACCAGTCATCATCACCACGGGCCTGAGACTCGTCCACGAACTCTAGAACCAGCTGTAAAGAGGCGGCAACGAAGTTGCGATGTGGAGAGAACCCGCGGCCTCCTTGCACTCACCGGCGATCATCATCACCAGATCCACCAGCCGCTCGAAAGGGTATGTGTCCCAGAAGCGCTCGAGCCTGCCAGGGAACCAGTCGTGGCGGCTCTCCACGATGCTGGCCCCGATTAGACCCCGGACGGCATCGCGGTTGGTCCAGTCGGTGTTTAGGACGCCGACGTTGTGGCGCAACGGCCTGGCGAAGGCCCCGAACCGGATGTATACGCCGTTGCACATGTCGAAGGGGAATGCGCCGGATCCCTGTTGGAGACGGTGGTGGTCGAAGCCAGGGCCAAAGGCGGGGTGCCAGAGCTCGACCTGGAGGTGCTGGATGCGGGAGAGGTGGTGGCTGCCGTCTGCGCCGGCGGTGTGGGCTTTGAACCGGTCGACGAAGTCCTGCCAGACCTGGTCGACCTCGGAGTGCCGCTTGGGGTAGATGCAAATTCCGAAATTCTTCTCCTTCTACCACATGTGGAGGACCTCGCGGTGGAGCTGCCGGTTGACCTTTGCCAGGGTGGGCTGGCAGAGGTTGAACTCGCCCACAGGGTGATTTGGGTCTTGAGTGCGGGGCATGTCGGCGATGACCATTGCGTAGATAATGATGCGGATCTCAGGTGGCAAGTTCAAGAAGGGGAACTGATTCTGCGGACGGTCAGTACTGGGAGCGACTCGAATCAGGGCATTAGTTGAAACACTTTCGCAGTGATGGCAGGAGGGGATGAGGGTGCCTCTTTCATGTAGCCGTCAACCTGATCAAGCTTGTCCAGTTGGTCAGCATCATCGCTCTGGTCGGCCTGCAGACCATGTGTCAGCAGCTCATTTGTATCCCAGGTCTTCTTTTGGATTCCGGGTTACCCTAATCGATGGGTGATGCAATCCCTTTCGGAATCGGATGCGTTGACTGGTGGTTGGCAGAACTCACCTTGAGATCGTCAGTCATGGTATTCACAACGCTGTCGTCAATCTTGTCCTTGTTGTCCTCCATGTTGATTTAAATTTGATTATGTCACAATGGTCCTGCAAGAAGTTCTGGCTAATGCAGGAGGGTATGACAAGGAAGTCGCAGATATGTTGCCACGGAGTCAAGAAGGGGAAGGAAGCTGTGCAGATGTATCTTTGTGCAGATACGACGGCTCGGATTCTATTGGGCAAGGGCCTCGGGGCTGCTAGATGGTGGTTCAGCTTGAGTTGGACGACCCATCAGCGAATTTTGTTGAAGATATACGGTTAAATCCATGGTCTGGATTAAGCGTTTGGTTATTCCTGACCCTCAAGAAATCTCTCGTTAATGCGATGGCGTGAAAACAAGTCAGCCCTGTATGATGGACCTTCGCCGGCTAGAGCCTCAGAATAACGAGGTATTCTCGAGGTTACGTAGTTAGGACGACATCAACCTGCTACATGAAGACGACATTCCCCGACCCTGTGAGTATTCCAATAACTGCTCGGGCTGCCGGTCTTGTTATATCCTCAACTGAGGTGCACAGCTCGATGCGACAGCGAGCCTTTGGGCAATTGTTTCCGCAGAGCCATACTATGTTCATGATCTGTCGGAGGCCGGAGCCGCCGAGCATGAGGTTGTATCTCCTTGCCGCTGGCCAAGATCGCAACGACTGCCGCACTGCTGCATACACAGCTTCTTCCACGCCGCATTTGCTCCAACGGACGAGCTGCAGTCTCGTGGCGTGTTTAGACTTGATTGGACGTCCGAAAGAGACAACCAACTCGGCGAGACGATGGCTAATGCTGGTAATGAATGGGCTTGGCCCCCAACACAGTTGGATGTTCCTGATGGACCGCGGGTTGCTCTCTCGCGGGAAGCCATTCCAGTAAAGGTAGAATGACTCGAGCACCCGGGCGACTCTGCCTTCAGGAATTCCAGCATCACATAGTACGGGCCCTCTCCCCACAGCGATGGAGAAGTTGTTATTCGCATAGAAGACCGGGAGACATTCCTCACGTAGCTTCCTGTTGACAAAGGCCAATGGCGGCTGAGCAAGACTGTTGAAGGGTGGTTGTGTGACCCCATGAGCTCGCATACGAGGAGTCGGTTCGGCGACTAGAGCATAGTGGTAGATTGGGATGCGAAGCTCTGGAGGCAGGCGGAGGAGATGAGAGACAGGCTCCTGGCGCCTGGCAAACAGCCTCGGAGCGGGAGCAGCGCGGACGATGGAGTCTTCCGACACCTCAACGGACTGTTGTGGCATCCTAAGGGAATGAGGCATTTCGAGATGTTGGACGGTTGCTTGTAATATCACCAGTGCGGCATGATGTGGTTTATCGGAATAGGCTGATGAATGATGGCGAATTGTAGAAGGCAGGGACGGGCTGCGAAACAACAGAAAAGGTTTGGAAGATTGATCTGGGACGTGGAGACGTGTCGCAGACCGCAGTCGAGTTGAACGTATTTAAATTGTTGTGTGGTCGGTTGATTTCGTCTCCGCTAGGACGTCCTAGGCACCCACTAGAAGATTGGCTCACACTAGCTGCAGACAGGCGATGACTAGAGCAATATTAGATATGTCGAATTCCTTATCATGTCCGCGTGACGTTAACTTTGGTATCGGCTCGCACATCGTCGTGGCCCAACTCGGTCCGGCTGAAGAAAGGCTATGAGCGTCTGTTCTACGCCTCTGAGTTACTGTAGTGTGGTGCAGCTGGCACCCTATTCTTGTGCTATGCGAGGTGGCATGGCCGATGAAGTGACAAAGTGTCGCCGAAATAGAACAGTTGACAAGAATTCCGACTTGGCTGCCGAGTGCGGAGCCCGATTTTAGGATAACAAGCTGCCAATACTGTGCATTTTCTCTAAAGTCGTCAAATCATAACGACCGTCACACTTTGCAAAAGATTCTAGCTTCAAATTTCAAGATGCCTGGTCCCGCGGATTGATCATTGTGACGCCCGAAAATCGAGGGCAGCAACATGAGTACGTATTCAAGTCGCGAGACGATGAGAGAGGTCTTAGGATGGGCTTGAGACTATTTTGAGTGGCTCTATCATGCGACAAGTATTGCTCCACAGCGATACTTAGCTGAAGGTACGGTGGCATTGATGAATATGAAATAACTAGAGAGATTTGATGTGAGAGACTTCGTAGGTAATGCCATCCTACGAGATCATTCCGGGGTACATTCCACGTGAAGCCATGACAGGCACTATGCTGTATGATGAAGAGTTGCCTCAAAGCAAACTCCCACCGAAATGTACCACTGAGAACTAATGCAATATACAAGATATCAGAAGCACCCGGGAAGCAAGGACAACACAATACCTTGAGCATCCCGGCGTGACGGGAGAAGAAAGGAGGAGAGCGCATAGTCTTAGAGCCTTATGTATTCATCCACTTGGCTCCTGCTCTGCATTACCAAAAGGTGTAAGCGAGCCCCAAAGGCAGATGAGCTATCGTAGTAATGGATTTTCTTGCCTCGGGAAAAGCATGCGCCAGGAGCCAGGCGACATCGAATCGCTCTAGGGCCCGAGGGAGCAACTCACGATCATAGACTCCCTCGTCCATTTCGCGCCACATGTCCGGAGTAAGCGCAGTTCCGTCGGCTAATAGTTTTGCGATGAAGTCCTTCCTGGCCGACGAGTAGTCTGTCCGCTCCGCCTCAGGGCTCCCCACTTGTCGATCGGCCAGAATGAAGTGGTATGGGAGGTGATCCAAAAAGTACTGTAAATGCTCGTTGCATGGACTGGGATCGTCTAATTTGTAGTGTACACTGACTTTGATGTCCCGGACGTGCGCCTCGATGGTCTTGGGCATGCTCTGGATGATTTCTTGGACTTTCTGGAGGACTTGGCTGCTTTGGATAATTATGAGCAGAAAGAATTTGTTTTGGGAGTAAAACATGGCAAGGGCTTCTCCCCGAATCTGCTTGTTTGCACAAAGTAGGCCTGGCTGCCTCAAGGATGCGACAAGGCGATCCTTGAGCAAGGTCTCTCGATAGACTATGTTTCGAATTTCAGGCGGGAGGCTGAGAAACGGGAAGCCGCTCTAATAACTTTATGGTTAGCTATAGTCGAAGGAAAATAGATACCTCGGTTGTGGGGAGTCAAACATTGTCATGCCCCCTTCGAGCTGTGATGACAACTTGATTGTCTTGGCCCATTTTCATGATTTGGATGTGTCGCTTAGACGATGTGCCGTCTTGCCTTTCCTAGAGGCGGCCAACTGCGGCCTTTTAATAAGCTGCTCACCAGTTTTCATAACTCAACGTTGATGAATGGAGCATTGAATTAATTGTCTCAGGCCATTGATGGGCGCTATGGTTTTGTGCTATTGTTCCCAGTCTGAGACAGCATTTGAGGCGAGGCGGGGTGCCTAGAAATGGGAACAATGAGACTAAAGCGTCCAACAGGCAGCATATCGAGGAATGAAGTTACCAAGCAAAGCAATGCATCGGACTTGCCTTTGTCAGACTGAGAAAATACGTCTCGAAGCCGCTAGCAACAGGGTCTCGGAGAGGAGGGAATTATATGGACTCACCTATTTTCTGGGGGCTTGTACTTTTTCTATTCAATAGGAGATAGTAGAAGGAAGACTTACGAGAGGACGTCTAGATATTTCTCGATTGTGGCTGACATACCGGCTTTCAGAGGTCTCAGAGAGGGGGTTCTGAACATGTCAAGGAATGGCGGAGCTAGATCCCCGTTGTGGTGGATCATTTCAACTTATGATAATATGGAGAGGAAAGATGTTGCCGTGGTGCTACTGAAGGACGATTCTGGGTACAAGGGGAGATGACAGAGGCCTATTAGGTAGGCTTATGATTCACAGCAGAAGCGCTGGGTTTTCAAATGAATTATTCTGAAATGGCGGCCGGTCCCGCGGCAGTCTAGCGAAGGGAGTCACGTCGACGAGCTATTCATGACTTTCTCGTGGGAATTTTAGGATGAATTTCACTCGTGGATGTTCAGGATTTGCTACAAGCTAACATGATTTTCAAATTTCCTGGTTCCACAGCGTTAATGGGAGAGCTGCAAAAGCTGGTGTCCAGTTGATGTATGAAATAGCTCACTTGGCCAGGGCATCAAACAATGTAACCAATCCGACCACAAGAGCAGCTGTAATGATGTAACTGCCCACCGCCGTCCCAGTCTGCACACTTGCTTGTACTTCGCCACCGTATCTGAGTACTGCAACAATGGGCCAGGCAACCGTGGCGGCAATGCTGAGAAGGGTTGGAAGAAGGATAATATTGGAGATCAAGGAAGCGTCCCATCCGACCACAAACTTCAGGGCATTTGGAGGATTGGAGGAACCAGTCCCTGGGTATACATTAAGCCGTTGCAGTTCCATTATTTGAGTCCTTTTGACCTGCTGGTGCTTCCACTGTGCTAAACTCCTCAATCAACGCACAGGTGCTCGGTGGCACGTCAAGGGTCGAAACTGTTGACCCAGCCGCGGACCCGTTTCTGATCTACGATTTTTGTATGAGTCAGTTGAAGCATTTGAATTGTCTTGAATCTCCCCCGCGCATATTAAACATTCATGAGAGTCTCGCGTTACACACGTCCAACCTCTGGCCTTGTTTTCAGACCAAACGTGCCCTTCCATTCGCACCACTGCCTGGTGGGGAGACAGTGAGCTTACCTTTGTAATTTCCAGCCTCACAAGTGACTTTGGGAGCATTACCTGAACTATGCCTTCTTCTATCCTCGATATGCGATAAAAGAAGGACAGGTGATTCCACAACCAAGCGTCGTCCAGCGCAGAGTCGTGAGGGTCGGGGCAAGGAATGCGTATGCAGCTGGACCGGTTAAAAAGACTGAGACAGCATGGTCGGGGTATCTTTGTCGCCAGGCCTCAGTATAGTTCTGAGAGAATCTTTTCCTTCGCACAGAGAACAGAAAGTATTCCGACCAAAACAAAGACCAGAAAATGGGTTCATCCACTCTGGATATAATTCGTAATGTCACTGTGGCCTTTTGGTCTGGCAGTTAGGAACGGGTAGAGAAAACAACAAGTAAAAAAAAAAAAAAAAATTGAATGCTTACAAAGTAGTCCTTGAGTATCTTGTAGATGATAATGAGTGACAACGGTTTGTCGATGATGGCGGCCTTTCGCAGAAACCATGACGCGATTCTGATTCCCAGCTCGAGTTCCAAGATCATAATTACCTGAAGTTGAATGTGTAAAGTAACCAAATATACCAGAGAAAGGTCATTCCAAACTGCAATAAGCACATTAAGCGCCAATTTTGGAATGGTTGTGGAAAATAAGGGGCAGGTATGGGCTGGACAACACCGTTGGCAACAAAAGCGTTAGAAGTGAACCTATGTGGCTGTGCTGGGGGGTGTGCATGGTGCAAAAGGCCAAACAGCCTTAGAGGTGCCAAAGTATTCCAAACGGTGGTGAAAGCGCTACTAAGAAATACAAAAGCCGTCCTGTCTCTTCTGGGAATGGTATATTGAAATGTCGACATGACGAAAGAACAAAAGATTCGGAGTGGTGGGAGTTTCCTAAGATGGTCTTCGCCTTGTCACAGCAGAAGTGCCTGAGTTGACTGTGAATATCTGTTGATTTGTATTGCGACTTGCCTAACTCAAGCAAAGGAAGTGCTCGGCGGACTTAAGAGTGCCCTCTAAGCCCTTAAATAGGCCCGTGGGGTGACACGATACGCTTACGAAGTAATATTGACAAGGGTCCAACTGCAGGCAGCTCGCATACAGTCCACCCGCTCTCACATTTCCCATAGGTCCGTAATGAACTTGGTTTGTACTCTGATCACTGCGGTACAACGTGAGTTGCAATTAGTGCGCCAGAGATATAGATAGCCGTCTACATATTGCCATAGCCTATGCAAATGGGGCTACGCAAGGTCACACAGGCTAATTGATGGTGGGAAGGACATACAGGAGAAGTTTCAGCTGCATCACATCATCCCCGCCACCCACGACGGGCTGAATCTAAGTTTTGATACTGAAGGTGGTTTTGGAGTGACTCTTCTTGCCAAAGGTGTCTAAAATCACCGCATGTATGCTGATGAAATGGAGATGGATCGTTCCCTTCAAGGAGGCGACCAGAAGGGCGCACTGGACATCTCGTGGGAATGTTTTATTTAAGGTGACAAGCACATACTCCCAGGACCACTCCAACCTGATCTAATGCCTTTGAGCCTTCTTGCCCTTCCGAAGGGCTCCGGGTTCCTTCTACTCTTCCTCATCGGAAAGGACATCTGCAATTGCTTCGATGCAGCTCTTCCTCTTCCTCTTCCTCTTCCGAGTCTTCTCTATCGACGTTGACGCGGACTAGTGCATGTGTCAGATGAGGACACGCCGATGCAAAAGCACACAGGGCATCCAGCGCAGCCCTCTGGTTAAATATATTCAAGGGTTTAAAGGACTGTCCGCGGAACCGCTTCCCCATGAGCGTTTCCATCAGGTCGTCCTCCAGCCGGACTACCGCCTCGTCGCACGCAGCCCGAAGGGCGGTGGCATCTGCCCAGTTCATGGCAGCGCTGCCAATCTTCTCCCTTGGCCCGAGAGGACGGCCTGTAGCTGGGGCCTTCAGGACGTCAGGGTCAGCCACCAGGTCGGCTTCAATATGGTACCCATCCTGTCTCAAGAAGAAGTCGAGATGAATACCACCGAGGAGCCGCATTGTGCTGGAGCCCGGCGATCCAACAGGACCACCGGTGAAAACATCTACGACGCGTTGAATGAATGGGGTCCAGTCCTCTGGCGACTCCGCTTTGACACGTAGGACGATTGAGCTCGCATAGTAGAGGGGAAGCGCTTCGGCGCGGAGCCGCCTGTTCACTCGCGTGATGGCTGGCTGCTCATAAAGGCGGTTGTCCTCGCGTTCAGAATGATGCAAGCTTAGAAGCTGATGGTATATCGAGTCCCGGATCTCGCCGGGAAAGCTGAGGAAGGGGAATGGTTTCTGGTCAAAAGTTGGTTAGTCCCAGACACAGCGGAGCGAACACGCGACGTGGCTTACCTCGTCCTGCTCGCCGTTTCCAGCCTCACCCGGGGGGCTTTCTACACCATGCCGGTATATATTGTCAGTGCTAGCCTCAATTATGTCAGTCGGCGCCATTCAGAGTCAGCTAGGAATGAGATTCAGGTGTGAAAGGTCCCAATCGCGACTTAATCGCGGTCTTGATTGACGTGACGCGTTAATTCTGTGCAGACGACGCGTTGACGTTGGAAAAGTGATGTTGACTCCCAACTCGGTACCACTGTGTGTGGAAAACGAAACTATTTCCCCCCCCCTGTCCTTTTGACTCGCGCTCCCCCTCCGCTGCAGAACAACAAAAACTTTAAAAATACGCTATTTCTTTAATAACTCACTTTAATAAAATAACAGTATATAATATATATATATATTTATAAACTTTAAAGTTTAAAAATTCTTAATAAAATATTATTAATATTAATATAACTTTTTAAATAATATATAAATTAAATTATTTATTTTTATTTTTATTTATTTATTATTATTAAATATAATTTAATAATTATAAAAATAAATGCAACTTATTGCTCAGGGATTCCCTGTCCAAGTAATGCTGCCAAGAGCTCTTTGCAAGGTACAGGGCTGCTGCGCCTCAAGCTTGAAGTCACTTCTTCACCTGGCAATGTACCTTCCTGTGTGGTGCTCTGCAGCTCGCCCACTTCCCCTCACCACCTGGTCTCCATCGCCCACTTCCCTGCATCACTTACTTCATCGCCCATTTCATCGCCCACTTCCCGCCATCCGTTTCTTATAGCTGACTTCCATGGCTATGAGACTCCTGGTCCCCTTGCTCCATGGCCAGGTGCCCTTGTGCACGCTTGATTTACACTGCCCGCTGGTGGAAAGTGAATGAGACCAGTTTTTTTTTTTTTTTTTTTTTTGATGAGCTATGAAAACTAACTAACTAATTCGAAGACCAATTTTCGTATACCAATTCATTCTGTGATTTCTTTCTATCAGTACCAGCGAGGGTCAGTTGGTTCACCATTAACTGCAACGGTCCGGATGCCATGGACACTCTCTGCATAGTTACGGAAGTGGTCTTTGTGTTTCAGCACCTTCTTGGGGATGCAGACCGGGCAGACGACTTTCTGGTTTGGTTCCAGCTTAGACAGGTGCTTGCTGATGAAGTGGCGTTTGGACTCACGGTGCCCAGCGTAGGTATGGCAGAGATCAGGTATGTTTGGGTCGTCAGACGGGAGAGAGAGCGCCTTGCCCACACAAATAAAGCAGCGTCGGAGACGCTGCCCAGGCTTGCAGAAGACAGACCGTCTAAGAAGCTCTACTGCATCGGCATGCTTCTGCTGCTGCAATTCAATCGCAGGAGGCCGCGGCCTAGCCTCTATGACCTTGGATGAGGGGCGTTCTATCACCTCGCAGTACGCCATGACAGCCAGGACCGCCTCCGTCCTACGCTGGAATTGAGCGGCGAGATCTTGAGGAGGAAGCGGTGCTGTAAGCGCGGTAACCAATCTTCGGAGTGGTGAACTCATCGGACGTGACTTCCGAGTGTCGTTGGGAGATGCCGCGAAGCCGTTGCCTTGAATCTGGATTTCGATGTCTTCAACTTGAACTGCCTGTTTCGCACCCCACTCTGCTCTCATGCGAGCTTTCATCGACCGCCGCAACCTCATCTTGGCACTCGATAGCTCCTTGGCTGCCTTCCTATACGCCGGCGTCCTTTTAGGCATCTTGCTGAGCGCACTAGTAAGGCGTATGATTTTGGGATCGTTGTTAATAGACGCAGACAGCTGTGGCGTTAGGTTTGCAGGTCGGCGGCTACTTCGCGAATGGCCGTGGCTTCCGGCTTGTTCTACAAGCTCGCGTTGTGGTTCACGGGCCAAATGAAGCGCCCAGAGAACAACCGTCACATTCCGTGCCACATAATGTTTCTGGAAGGTGTTGGAGTTGGGCGCGTGATCCATTACAAGGTTGCGTAAAGCTCCGCTAATGTCGACTATGTATCACTCAGTAATTAGCTTGATTCTATGGAGTCTTGACATGATGAACTGCTGTTCAAGATCCCCGACTGCTGCTCTATGTCCTACAACCCCGATGGTGGAACGGGGGGAAAGGGCATGGAGGAATGGGAGTGATCTCTTCAAAGAGTTCTCACAGGCTGGGGGCAGATCGGTGTGATGGAAAAGCCATTGCAACACATGTGCTTCTTGTGGACTTGGTGGCTCGCAGAGCTGCGAGGGAAACGTTGTACATCGACTTGACGCTGAGAACTTGGAAAGGGGCATGGCTTACCGTTCCTGTCCATGTTGTTACCAGCCGCATAGCGGAGTGTATAACAGATCGTATTGTGTTCAAAGCCGACAATTTCCCCAATCCTCTTCACACATCCCTCCATGGTGCCCCTCTTTCATTGGCTCCGTGGCAGACATTTCATACCCCGTAAGCGTCTCTTCATACCGACGGAAGAGGGGCACCTCGTCGAGGTCTCTCCTTAGGGGAATCAACAACTCTTTATCGTCCTTCCAGATCCTAAGGTCAGCAAGTGCTCCGGGATTCTTGTTCAGACTCTCTGAACGGAAGGCATTGTGACGGAAAAGAATGCCGAGGAGAAAGACGTGGGGGCTCAGAAGCAGTGTATCATCGTAGATGATCTCCGGGATCATAAATGTCTTGATCGCCTTGCTGTCTAGGTATCGCTTGGTGAATGCCAGCGTAAAGCGGATGAGCAGCTTGTAAGGCCCTTCTGGGTGCTTTGGGTCCCGTACGAGGAGTATGTTGATATCTCCGAAGCGAAGACGTAGAATGGATCTCAGCCGGGAGCCCGCAGGGGCCATAAGGAGCAAGAACAACACCGAGAGAATGCGGAGTTCGCCGATTTTGAAATCCTTCTCAGTCGTGCGTAGCATTGTATCAATTTGCAGGATGAAGTCCGCAAGCAACATCGCCCTATTATTCCGTTTCTCACTAGACAGGTCATAGACATTCGTTAGCTCCGCGATGCCTTGACTAATCATCTGCGTGTTGACGGCCTGGTCGATCTTGCAGCCCATCGCCCTCTGGTAAGCAAGACGGAAATTGCACCAAAAGGTGATCAGGAAGGCCTTCTTCGTCGTCCCCCGCTTAAGCTTCCCATCCAGTGACTTCTTCTGGTTCAGAGTCCACTTCAGGAACGCGAAGACAGAGGAAAAATTGATGGTCTCGTAGCCACGGATTGCATCAACTCCCTGGATCCTGCGGGAGAACCTATACATATGTTAGCCAACTCCTGACCCCATTGGCGGAAGGGTGCATACTCAGTCCATTGACGCTCGACCCTGTTGACCATTTCGAGTGTGCCTTCCGAGTAGTTTTTCTTTAGATAGGCTCTCTCGTTAAGATCCTGCATGTCCCGACGGTAGTACTCGGGAGGATGCACATTTCCATCGAAGAGCTCTTCACCATCATCCTGGCGGTCCGTGTTGGCTTGGACCGGCTTCTTGAGCCCTGTGCCCTTGTGTGCCAGGTCAAACTGGCGGACTTGCTCCTCAACATCTGCGGCAGTGATGTCGGCAGCAGCTTCCTCCAGGTCTCCGTCACTCTCATCCTCAGCGTCGTCTTCTATCCCGGTATCGGTCTCAGTCTCATCATCCCCTTCCGAAACCTGATATTCGGAACCCGATTTGTCGTGTTTGGAACTAACCACCGAGATGAGTTCCTTGGATTGTTTTCTCTGTGGGGGCATCCTGGAGGTAAAGTAATGCAAGTTTGATTGTCTGCTGATGCGCTTGTTGAATTGAGATAAGAGGTTTAAACACACGTCAGAGACAGAGAGAGGGAGAGAAGCCAAGATATTTCCCACGACTTCTAGTTCTGCAAGTTCTCAACGAACCCCGTTAGGAATGAACCTCTTGTGTGTTCAGTGGGGAACGCAGGTCTGCATGTCCATCAATCGGTCGACGCACAGGCGGCATGCAGACTCTGTTTGTTTGCTCGTCCACTTGCAGGTGTTGCAAACCTAAGCCCAGGGGTCACCCCCTGTGAGGGCGCAGGGTCAACCAAACCCAATCAGTTCCCGTTCCAGAGTAGGAATACAGCTGGGTATAGTGCAGCGTATTTGATGTCTATCTTGTAACACCGTCTGAAGAAGAACCTTGCGATTGGTCGCGATCTTTTTAGCATTGCTCCTAGCAATGGATCTTGTAACACTCTGTTTCAAGATGACTTCTGAGCTGGCCCCCGCCTGTGCAAACAACAGTTAGACTAAATGCTGCAGCTTCAACATTCACTGGACTAGACATTCAGAGACAGGAATTGCGCTTCCACAACCGCAGGTTGCTAGAAAGGCTAGAAAGCACAAGAGTGGGGCCAGACCGACCGGGGAGAGCCGGCCGAGACGTCAGAAATGCCCTAGTTCTCATGCAACGCAACGCAAGAGAAGCAAACTTTCCAGAACAGGCTCCACCAGGTACCCTTGGCTCGCATGCCGAGCAGAGCTTCAGCGGGCTGGGCGACAGAATTTGTCCAGTTCAGAGTCTTGGGATCTCATGTGAACACAAGGCCACTTCAATGAAATGTCATCACGATAACGGCAATGGATACGCGAGCTGTCTGAGGAGGTGCGCATGTAAATTTGTGACAGGACTGCCTTTCCCCGGGTGAGAGAAGTGGCTCAGTCGCGCGATTTGGGGCCCTCAGGAAAAACATGAGTGCACAACTCGAAAACGTGACGTTCGTTGTGGTCGTTCCCGTGTCCTTCATGGTAACAGTCGCCACAGACCCCAAACCTCTCATCGCAATCCCTGCATTCCCAGCTTTCGTTCCCAATTTCACCCCAACACGTCAAGCACCACATTGGCAGTTCCTGAGCGTCTTCCACCATCAAGAACTTCGTGACCGAGTCGGTTTGGATAGTCAGCTTCCATCTCTTGTCGGAAGCTGAAAACTGCAGCTCACCGCCTGGAGAGGCTATTGAGCAGCAGCTAAGCAGTAGATCGATGGATCGGTCGTTGAAGTGTTGGCGGCCCAGCTGATCCGGGGGCCCAGACAAAAGGTCGTACTGCTTTCCATTGAGATGTAAACGAAAGGCACCCGGTGGGAGGTCCTTGCACTCCACGGCCCAACTAAGGTCATACGCGTAAAGCTTCCCGCGCTTAAACGCCTTTTCATCCTCTAACCATGTTTGGATTTTTTTTGTCGCTATGTTTAAATCCAGGAGCGCAGATGAGTGCGAATCGAGTATTCAATCTTGTTAAAGCAGGAATATCAAAATTAGCAAAGTGCTCCTTGTTCAAGCCCTAAATTGCATTTAGTAATGGCGCAGTGGCAATATTTACGATAACTGCAGGATCTACGGGCACAAGGAGAATCTTTGCAGTGGCACTACCTTGCCATAACCCATAGTGCTTGGCTTTGGTTGGAGCAGAGTTGCATTAATCTAAATCGTCGCTTTCCCCATCGGAATCATCATCAGAATTATCTTGGTTAGTAGCGGCACTCGATATTCTCGTGAGCATGTATATTCCGATAGCCGACCTAATAAGCATATTAATTGGTGGTGGAATATTGAATGTTGATAGCGCTGCGCCGGCTGATATAGCCGAAGTTCTGTCCGGGAGTGATTACGACAAGACAACGGAGAAGAGATAATGATAGACGGGGGGTAAATCGTAGCGCACCAATGTATGTTAAAGTCGGCAAGACGTGCATAGTGGAAGTTTAGGCCGGGCTGCCCAGTCGCCGCAACATCCCTCAGTTCTATCATCAATGTTTCAATCTCTCGCCACAGGCCTGGGCTGCAAAAACTCCCTCCACAGAATACTACCGCAAAGTCGGTGCCGTATTGCAAGACCCTAAAGAGAAGACCTCTCAGTACCTTGAGACCCCCTCTAAACACCTTTTTGAAGGCTTGGTGTAGCTCAGTAGCAGATAGGCGTACGACTATCCATGGCTTTATGCCACGGAGCGTGAGGCCCTGCGCCTTAATGTCAAAGTCCTAGCCCCATTTTTGCTCCTCGAAGTCCTTCATTACGGCTGCAAGCTTGTCATCTTGTAGATCTACGGAGAGTTCCTCCAACTGGGGACGACATAAGCCCTGAACCTTCTCGTCAAGCAGGTTGCTACCGCCGCGTGTTCCTGTTCACGGGTTAGAATCCTGGCCGCGTACATATCCGTCCGACAGCTTACCTGGTGACCAGCCTGGACCACTGACCGACTGGCTAGCTTCTACTTGAAGCTTTTCATCAAAGTAAAAGGCGAGACCCTGCATGTTCTGGTTGAAAATGTTAATTGATGTCTTCGTACGTAGGGCGTGCAGTAGTCAGATTCTCATACGCACGAAAGTACTGCTCCCGCCATCGACGACCACCCAAAGCATATCTCCGTCTAACCGAAGGGTACCAAAATGGGCCTGGAGCTTTTCTCTCCTCAGGCCACCTTGCGGATCGTCAAACTCTTCAGAAAGGTAGACGCCTGCACACTGGCCCTCGTTCGCGGTGCGAAACTGGATGTCAGGATGATCCTTGCAAACAGAGCGGATGATCCTGAGACAGTGAAACCTCCACTTATCAAAATCCCCAAATTTTTCGAATCTGGACAAGTATGTCGGATATGCGACTACTATTGATGTAGTCATGAGTCCATGGCAATCTGCGCTTGCAAGTGCCTGCTCGAGGAGAAAGCGATAATGGTCGTGCAGGGCGTCATCTTCGTCCTCGGACGATACTAACTCATCACGGCATAATCCAAGCAGGTAATCTTCCCCGGGTAAGTCCTCTAGTCCCCGGCCTATGCCGCATCAATGTTGCAAGAGCATTTTGCAAGGAACTCGGTGGCCGTTCGCCAAGGCTCGCCTTCCTATAACCAGCCTGTCCGAGTCGTCCTGGTATGTTGCTTGTGCAACAAACTCGTATATCGAGGTTGTGGCGCTTGGAGTGTTCTGCATTTCTGGGTGGTTAAGGTTGCCCTCAAAGCTAACGCGGATAATCTTGGGAGGCCCAGTCTCAGACGGTTTCCAAGCTAATGTGAGCTTAGAAGTAGAAGCGCCCAGATCTAGGCCAAGAGTGCTGTTGCTCCGACTTGGGTCAGACGGGAGGATGGCCTACTGTAGCGGTGGGGAGCTTCGAGTTACTGACCAGGGCACCTTCTCTGGCCGGACTAGCTGCCTCCTCAAGAACGACATAGCCTCATAGACACGGCCTGGCTGACCACGAACCACGTCAAAGCCAGTGGTCAAGTATTAAGAGGACTCATTAGTCACTGTGATGTAGAGGCTCAGGTGTAGGTACGTTGTAAAACGCGTGGATCAGTCGGCTCGACGCGTTGAAATAATCCCAACTCAGCCCGCGCTTGGTTCAGCAAACCACTGTGAGGTGGCCCCGCTAATTTCCAATGTCGTGCGGCTGCATATGCACGACGCATCGTGGTGGAGGTGGGCTCACCGTTATCATGAGCCGTCTGAAACGTTGCTCTTTTGGGAGCATTTTGGCCACGGGCCCTGTGAGTTACCCACACAAATCAGAGCGCACATATGGGCAGCTGTGTAGCACGTCGAACGTGCTTCGTACAGACTTTTGTCTCTCATGTTAAAGTCGTGCATTCCTGGAATCCAGCGTGAGCAGAACGGAAGGACTTGACCCGAGCCCAAAATATCTGACCACGAACAAGGGCCAGATGACCAGATCAATAACTGAGTATTTGGGTGCCGGGATCATTCGGCTTCCTGGAAGTCCCCTCTACATTAACATGACTTCTTAGCGCACTTCCACCAGCTCAGCGTGGGTCAGTGCCCAGGAAGTGGAGACCCGTCTGCCGGTTGCTGCCGTCGGCAACACAGTCTCGCGGTCCAGGTACCCGACTCCCAATGGCCGTGCATATTTGGAGCCCAGTCCCCGCCACTCTGTGTCCTGCTTCAAAGCATTCACTTTCCACTTCTCCACATCAATCTTCCTCCATCATCATCACCACCACCACCACAACATCGAATGCAATTCTCGCTACATCTACGTCATATGCCTCACCAGCACCAACGCCAATGCTAGCGCAATAGACAACTGCATTGCACATCTGCAGCAAGTCCACCAGCCTACAGCCAAAGCCGTCCCATCGCCACGCGACAGGAACCACGTGAAGGTCCTGGGTTTGGCAGCCCAAGCGGCAGCGTAATCCTCCTCTTCGGCGCAATCCGGGGACAGGGGGAGCCCTGCTGCTATAGGACTTGCGTGCGCCTGGGCTTTGGGGGCAGTTCCGTAATCCTCCTCTTCTCAACTTCGGTATCGACCCGAGTAGTCACATCTCTGCGGACATCGAGAGGACAGGAGGAGCCGTTCTGCTGGCTGCGTCTGGGGCTGGCACTTGGTCTTTTGTGCAGTCATTATCATTAACATCGTCTCCCCTCTACTCTACATCATCTTTCTCTTTGCATGAAAGCGTTGCTATTTGTAATAATGCTGAATATCCAAGATCAATACATATCAGCCTCCTCACCTGTTCTATTTACCCTATTGCTAATATCCCGCTTATAGGGTGGATCGAGACGAATGAGAAAGATCCGTGGATGTCATGGCTACGTCTCCCAACATTCAACTCCAAAGACTAGGCGTGTTGGACTTGCTCGAACAGAGTCCTAATCGCCCTAGTCCTGGATCACCCCGAACCCCGTCCCCGTCCGGAACACCCTCCCGATCATGCTCTCTCCGCGCCAACATGTGCCTCTTCTTCGACCCCGCTGCCAATACCGCCTTGTTCAAAGTCGAAGCTCCCGTTAGCCTGCTCAACCAGGAAGCCCTCGTGCCCCCGACGAGTTCACGGCGCACGCAGCTTGCTTTCACTCGCCACGCCGGATACCAACGCCACGTCCAGCTCAAGGTCTCCCTCTACGTCTACCCCGAGCAGATCACCTCGCTAGCCTCCTGCCGACTCCCCAGGCTCCCCGACCGCCTTGTTCCGGTTTACACACACCTGTCAGACAGAGAGACACTCTCACTCAAGCTGACAATCTCCTCCCCCCCGACCCTGATTATTCCCAATTTGACTGATCGCCTCATCCCTCACACGCGGTCTGATCTTGCCACCCTCACCGCATTCCAGCGCGTCGCCGGCGCGACGACCTCTACCCTCACGCTCACGCTCTATATCCCCGGCACCGCCCTCACAGACGCACAGGCGTCGTCTATTTGCACAGGCGTGACGCAGTCCACGACTGTGGCCACCGCGCACACGAAACTTGATAGGGTGTTTGCAGGGCGGGGCGTCAGAGCAGTCCCGCTGGACAAGGTCGCGGATATTGTGGACCAGAGCTCCCCTACGACGAGTCCTAGTACACATGCCAGCCCACCGGCCTATGAAGGGTCTGAGTCGGGCAAGGCGCCGCCGGTATATGATGGTAAGGGAAAAGAGATTGATCACACACAGGGTCGAAAGAGACTGCGGGAATTGAGTTCGAGTCCCGCTAGCAATTCAGGTGGAGCAACCGCAGACGTCTCGGCGGGGCAAGAGGAGATATGGTCACAGATCCAGGTCCTACAGCGGCTGCTGAAAGATGCGAACAGCAAGATCCCCCGGCTGGAGTGCCTGACCGCCGAGGCTGACACGAAGGACGCAACCCTACGCGCGCGTCTGACCGAGGCCGACGCTAAAGTTGTCGAGTTGATCGAGGCTACTGCGCAGTACGAGTGCGAAGCATCGGAGGGTCTGGACGCGTACATCGACCACAGGATGGAGGAGCTCTCTCGGGGTTGACACACTTGTACGGTCCGAGATGGAGGAATTCGTGGAGGAACAGGTGGGCGCAGCAATGGAGGACCTTCGCGAGAGATTAGCAGGCGGCGGGGTAAGGGTCATTCTGCCAGCAGAGTAATTTAGTTCAGCTGGCCAAATGCCTCTTAAATTGGTTACAATGGTAGGTTTTCACTACAATTACATAAGTGCTTGGAGGATAATACAGGACATCATAACAAAAAGCTTGATATTAATAGTTCTCTACAGTAAACAAGTAAAGCAAGTAGAAGAATCTATTACAAGTAGTGATTAAGGAAGCTGGAGAAGTGCCTTCTTGGCATACTTCTGCTAGCCAAGCTTGGGCCGGAAGTTCTTGGCACAATTCCACCAGCCAGGTGTGGGCCAGTGCCCAAGAAGCTACATATCCAGCTGGGGAAGTGACCTTGGTGTGGCGCAGGTGGCGCAGGCGGAAGTGCCGTCCAGGAGGCCCGCAGAATTGCCTCTTCAGGCAAGGCAAGCACCCGCATTATAAAATTATTTTAATATTAAAATACTTAATATAAATAATATATTTATAATTATAAATATTATATATAATTAATAAATTAATATTATTTATATTTATATTATTTATATAATATAAGAAATAAAGATTATAAATAAATATTTTATATTAAGATATTTAATTTCGTTATAAAGTTATGATGAATTATAGTTAGATTTGAAAATTGGGATTTTGGGGTCAAAAAGACAGGGGGGGATAGTTTCGTTTTCCACACACAGCAGGGTTCAACCCTGACGCGACTCCACGCCCGTTCGCATCAGTAGCTGCCAACAAGCATTCACTCCGTACCAGGTGCTTCAAGTTCTCCCTGTCTACATGAAGTCAGCAGCGTGACAGTTGGCGGGTCTGAAGGATTCACCCGTGTTCAAATCCGGCATAGCTGCGGACATGCGCCGCACCGATCAAAACAAACCCATAAAGAACCAACAATGAAGCCACGGTCTCGACTTTTCTCCACTGATTTTTAGATCAAACGAGCTTTCCCGTTTACCTCTGCCCATTATGTCCACCCCGTCCAAGAAACCGTTCACCCTGATCGTCCCAGGCGGCATGACGCCCGCCGCCGTCTACGACCCGGTCGTCGCCGAGGTGACAAGGCGGGGCCACGACATCCGGGCCGTGCAGCTGCCCAGCGTGCGGCTGCGCTCGGAGACGGGCCCCGTCAGGGAGCCGCCCACCATGTACGAGGACGCGGCGCTCATCGCCCGGGAGGCCGAGGTCCTCGCCGACGATGGCAGGGATGTCATCATCATCTCGCACTCGTACGGCGGCGTGCCCGCCACCGAGAGCGTGCGCGGCCTGTCCAAGGCGGCGAGGGCCAAGGAGGGTAAGCCTGGAGGCGTTGTGAGGCTTGCTTATATGACTTCGTTGGTGCCGGAGCTCGGGGCCGCGGCGAACGAGGTTCTTACGAATCGGCCTCGAGCTGCGGGGACCAGTGTGGAGATGGACATGGATGTAAGCTATTTCCTGATGGTTTCCTTGAAAACCAACCCAGATTCAATCCATTGAACAAGTTACTCATCGTGCAGGAACACGGCTGGATCTTCATCACGGACCCAGCCCAGGCCGCAAGCCTGATAGCGGCCGAGATACCGGTGGAAGAAGGCGAGCGCCTGGCCCGGGAGCTGTCGTACCACTCATCAACCAGCTTCACAAGCCCCTTGACGTACGCGGGGTACAAGGACGTCGCGGTCTCCTACCTGCTCTGCGAGAAGGACATTACGATACCGCACGAGAGCCAGGCCGACATGATCGAGCTGGTCGAGCGGGAGAGCGGGAACAAGGTTGACGTGACGAGGATCCAGGCTGGCCATGCGCCGAACCTCACTGCGTTCAAAGAGGTTGTCGACTGGATTGTGGGCATGGCTGAGAAGGCTGTGGCCGACGGTGCTGGTGATAGCTAGGCTCCTGGGTTGACACATGCAACCAACATCATTTCGAGCTCACCCCGCGTAGTATGGGCATTTTACCTTGTCCGTGGGAATGTAGCCCCAAGTGCCTGGAAGAGCATTGAGATCCACGGGTGGTAGGCCACATTCTCCAGGCCGCCGAAGGGCTCGCCGAAGGTGAGATTGCCAATGATCTTTGGGGACAGACAAGATTCAGTGATCCATCCTCCAATTTTCTTCATAGTGTTGCTTCTTCTTCCCATATTCAACCGGTTTCATTTCTGGCACTCACATCGAATGTTATCCAATTACACCAAGCTGCCATATCGAGAGCCTTGTTCCCTCCATCGCTGTGCTCGCCTATGCGCTGAACCAGCAGGTCTGCGTACGTCATGATGAGTGGCTGCTGGTCGCGCATGGCCTGGGCTGTGAAGCCGTGGGCCAGTGCCTTCCTGTACCGCGTGTGGTTCTCGCGCTTGGACCCGATGATGGTGTCTCGAAGGGTCTCCCATGTCCTGTCGTGCTTTTCATTCACTCCGGCTCCCGGCTTGCGGTGCCCGGCTATCAGCGGAAAGGCTTCCGGCTGGCCGTAGTTGAGCCAGTTTGGCCCGAGCCTGACTACCGGGCCGTATTTCTTGTGAAGCTCCAACGTCTGCTTGTGGGATTCTCCCGGGACCATCATGAGCGCGCAGGGGATCTCGGTAATGGCCCATAGTTTCGGTCCAGGATATGAGCTCAGCGGGTGGAAGTACAGGTTGTAGACGGTAGTCCAGATGAGGTAAACGGCAGCCTATTTTTGTCTCACTTCTTCAGTATCTTGGGCAATAGCCACCAATATACAAGGCTCTAATATGCAGGCGACTTACCGCGCGCCAATGACCGCTGGAACGAGCACGATTGTTGGTACATGGCCAAAGAAGCTGAATGCGGTTTGGACGTTGGCCTGGAGACCCTCTAGAATGGGAGGCATTGTAAAGTTTCTAGTCACTGAAAGCCGGTTGGATGTGGCCAACTTGCCTCCTCGGTATCCCCATCAAGGCATATTTGGTTTTAATAATCATTTCTTGGAGAGGCTGGAAGTTGACCGGTGCTGGAAATGCCGCACCATTTCATCCAATGATATACTGTTCGCAGCCGGCTTTTCCATGTGACGCTAACGTGGTTGCAGCATGCTCTCCCGGATGTGCCTCAGACACAACCTTGCATTCTTACCCCACGGTGCTGGACTAGACATCGTAGAGGTCTGCCTTTATTCGCCTTACTTAAGTTCAATCAAATCTCCGTGCCGGGTTCCGATCGCGGATCCTCGGTGGCTATTCCGAGCGGACCCATGTAGGCCCCGCAAGCTGTTGCCCCTACTATGGAAAGCCGTACATAGTCGAGGCCTATGGTGGCGAGAATGTCTACGTGCCCACGTCGGCCGGAACAACCCGCTACCTTGTGCCCATGAAGGAGTCCGACAACACCTTTGCCATAGTAGGGGGCGCGGGTGTTGCCTCTCGCGTGCCAGTCCCGGTGCCTTTCCATTACCACAGGCAGACGCGTCATGACTTTCTCGTCTTAAGTGGATAGATGAAGGTGTGGCTGGACGAAGAGTGCCGAATCATGAGCCAAGGAGACTATGCAAGCGTTTCACCAGTAAGTTGCAGCAAGACACACCAGGGCTGACAACGAGACATAGATGCTAACACATATGGCAGGGAACAGTCCACTCGTACCAATTCTTGTCTCCCCACACCGAGATCGTCGGCATCATCGTCGAGAGGGCCTTTGAGCCCTTCTTCCACAAGATCGGCGACCACTACGAGGGACACCTGTGGCCTGATATCGATGACCGGGACCCTCACGCCATCCTGCCCCAGCGCGTCAAGGAGGCCGCCGAGGAATTCGACGTCATCCCCGTCCGGGGTTATAAGGCCGCCGAGGCGAAACCCTGGAGCGACAAGACTGACGCCCAGCCCCGGCCTGGCCCCTACTTCCTACAGAATGGCAGAGGCCCCAGCGCCGTCCTAGGCGTTACCGTAGTGCGTCCCCTCATCACGGGCGCCGAGTCGGACAACAAGTTCACGCTCGGTACCATCGAGGGCTCGAGCGCCTACAAGACGCAGATCCTCAAGGGCGGCTTCAAGTTCTCCACCGTCAACCACGCTCTTCACGTCTCGGATGGGTACATCCGGGCGACGGTCGATGGCGACACGGAGCGCGTCGGCCCTGGTGAACTGCTCTGGCTGCCAGCCGGGTCCCTGTTCTCCATCGAGGTCGACAGCCGCTATTTCAAGGCGTACAACCTTCAGGCATCTTTCAATACGACACGGTGGAAGGCAGCCCATTTCAGGGCAGGCTGTTCAGATACCTTTCGCACACGAAGTTAACAACTTCAAATCGAAGGAATATGTACATATTCAGAGCCGAGGTACGAAAAGGTATCTCAAATGGCCCGTGAGGCCGTGAATGCCCGTGTGGACTTGGTATAACTCAGTAAGAATTAGGCAATATGTGAGAAATATCAGCCGTCGTGTACTGTCCGAAGATCTCAAATCCTGTTACCGTAGAAAGCGTACTCAAATTCTATTGTCGTTAATGTTGTACTACTCAGACCTGGAGAACCACATAGGTATTAGCATCACCCAAGTCCATACTTTAAGCAAGCTAGTAGCGTGGGGCCGCGGTGTCCTTGTCAACTGGTAACGAGGTAGCTGGGACCCAGGATGCATATGGACCTATGCCTTGTGTCTCTCATTTTGCGTATTACGCTGCGACACATATATAAAGAGGCGACCTGAAACACTTGCATTGCTTTTGACGTGTTCATGAAAGCCGGTAACCTAATCCGTATCCCCTGCTGAGTGTTCCTGCTACATCAACTTCCGTGCCATGGCTCCAACCCGTGCGATTCGTCGTGGACCGCCGGCGACGCATGATTGTCGGCTAAAGGATCACTATATCGCGGCCTAAAGTGATGGCGTGGACGTGACTCGTCAACTGCGGGCATTGCCCCGAGATCAAGCACATCAGGGCCACCAGCTCATTCGCAGCTTGGTTGGCTCGGTCACACCGTATGTTCACCGTTTCGAAAAAGTCCCTGGCATCCGATGATGCCAGGCTGGAATCTATGGCCGCCAAATACGCGAGTCTGACGTCCTCGTAACGGTTCCAGTCGAGGCCCTTAGTACACACCGAGGCCTCCATCTCAACGTTTTCGAGCTGGAAGCTGGCCATTACGAAACCCACTGAGATGAGGCCCTCCGGGTACAGTAGAGGTTTGACGTCAATGTGAAAGCTCAGAGAGGAGAGAAATCGCAAGTTGCTGGATTGTAGGGTGTTTCTCGGGCTGGGCATGAAGGCACCCAACATCTTCCGAACATGGTCGAGAAGGCTGGGATCCTCGTTGTTGCCACCATCATATCCCCTCGGAAGGGAGGGAAGGTAAAATTCGAATCGGTGTGTGCTTTAGAAAATCGGGAGAGTTTCCTGGCGCAGTTGCTGGTTGACACGGGTGATTGGGGCCTGTCGTAGGTCGGGGAGGGTGATCAACACTGTGGTGCTGTAGATCCGACGTTGTCGATAAACCATGTTGCGGACCTCGGCCGGCAGACGGAGAAATGGAAAAGGTTTCTGGAAACAGCAGTATGGTGTCAGTTTCCACCTATTCAGATGACCGACGCCAAAGCACTGTGGTGCCCAAGTACATGTCTCACCTCCTTCATAGGACTGACCGCAGTCTCAGAAACCATGGGGGCATCATCAGGGTGAGGCTGCTGAAGAGAACGAGTTAGCGGCGGGGCATAGAATTGGAGTCGGATTATCACTGACCTGAATTGCACCGTCAGGGGCTCTGGCGTCTTGTTGCTCAGGCTTCATCTGACAGGCATTGTCTGGTTCCAATTCATTGCGATCCGTCGCACTGTAGACGGTGTCGGCCTCCATGTTGTCGAGGTTGTGAGGTAAATGGAGGTTGCAGGTGTGGCTTTCGAAAAGGACAACGACATTCTGGGAGCGCATGTTTTAAGATCCTAGGGCTCACGTGTGAAATGGAAATTGAACGGACTTGTGAAGGGTTGTCAGGGTGAAGAGCTGTAGAAGCTGTTTGCTACGCCAGTCACACTTCGCAGGTACATGCTGACTCACTGCAGGAAGCTGTAGGCTACCTAGTTAGGACTTACCGTTCTCTGGCCTTTACACACCGCAACGCCGGCGTGCATGGGAGATTACCTGATTTCTTCACTTCCTTTCATTCACTCTTCTGTAGGCGGATCTATAGGTATGCCATTTTCATCGGCCGCTTTACTTCTCAAGCGGGTTTGCCCCTACGAACCGACCAGCCTTAAACATCGTCTTTTGCCTGACGACGGGTAGATTCAAGCTTGGACAACCGGCCCTCCTCCCATATGGTGGTCACTTAGTTGAATCCAGAGAACCAACACGCTCACGGAAGAGTATACGACACACCCAGGGAAGGTTAACCCACACGCCTAGGGGAGACTATCCAACACGTCCAGAGATAACACAGGCTGTCCAAGCTGGATTTCGCTGGGCCGTCTACAAACAGACACCCGTGATTCATTCCGTAATTCAGCCCAGCTGTGGCGCTGTTTGCTGCTGCCTTCCACCCCTCCCAGTTCATCACCTTTTCCCTTCCTACCACCGCCCGCCACCCGACCATCCATGGACGGTCAACATATGGAATCGTTCGGACCGAAGTACCACACTCTGTCTGTTTTCTTCAACCCAGAATGGCGACAGACCAGAACCAAGATCAACGGGAGGTTCGTTCACACCTTGCTGCAGATTCCCTCCCCACGATGCGAAGCTGACACACCTTCCACCATAGGTTCTTGACGACAAAGTGGAAAGGAGCGGCATGATGGATGGTCCCGATGGTACAGAGGTCCGTGACTCACCAGCTGAACCCCACCGCTGCAGAATGGTGACTGATCGGTTGAACAGGTTGACCATGACGACAACCAGAAATGCCCCGCGATGGAGATCAATCAGAAGAAGCCCGTTCGTTTACCTCCATCGTCTACATCATTCTATCGCCATATTAGCTAACAGCACTACAATAGGAGCCCCTTGGATTTCTTGATTTGCCTGCGGAGATCAGAAACAAGATCTATCAGCTTGCCCTGGTTGACAGGTTTTACGCACGCTTGATCACCAACCTCACCCCGCCAGCCCTGACCCTAGTGAACAGGCAAATCCTTGCCGAGGCTCTTCCGATCTACTACGCTGGGAACAACTTTTATCTCCTGCTTTGGGCAACGGATGATGGTCTCAGTGACCAAGACCCTGTCCTCTTCCACCGCTTCACCCAAATGATGGAGTACTTCGGACGGCGGACAACCTCTCCCACGGACGAGAGTCCCATGCGATACATCATGAACATAGTCGTCCAGATCAACCCCTCCACATACGGCGATCCTCCGCGCTACAGCAAAGTCTACAGCACAGTTGTGGACGACGTAGATCCAGAGACGGCCGCCAACCAAACGTACAGCAGTCTGTGCATCCGAAGCGAGAAACAGCGCATACCCTTCACATCTGATTCTGCAACCGAGAAAGGACCCTTCGACCCTACCAAATACCGGTGGATTGTCAAGAATGTGACATTCGGAAGCAGAGATAAATTGGGAGGCAGAGACAGATTCCGCAGCGTGAAGGAGGCTTCTGACCTCGTCAACATGAGCTTCACCGGGAGCGCCCAGCCTATTGAGAAGGCAATCGGAATTGAGTACTACTTAGGCTGAAGCGGGTGGTGGAAAAATGGATGGCTGGTGATTATAGCTACATTCTCAGCTATCCTAACGCCTACTATCTTGGGTACCGATGATGGAGACAATTACCAAGGGAGATCCGTTTTGCAGATCGAATCAAGTTTCAGGTGGACACAAGCATCAAACGGTCCCGCAAAATTAGTTTAACAGTGTAATGCACCGTCAGAATTCATCACGTTCTCTACCTATCTGATTCTGTAAGATAAAGGTTTAACCTCCCTGTCCCAGGGCCAGTTGTGCAGGCATACTTGCAACCAACGTGGAAAGTATGCATCATGAATGGTAGACGAAAGCCTATCTTAACTGGCTTCAAATAATGTCCGAGGCATACCGACATGTCCTTCTCTAAGCATACATCGCCAGCCAAGTCGTTGCCACCCTGGCTTTGGCCAGGACACGCTCTGTTGTCAGCCACGAAATTGCTGGGCCCCACGATGTCTAACAACTGGGAGCTTTTAGCCGCCTTCTTTCCAGCCTTGATGCTGATACGAGGCAATCCCGTATTCTAAGACAGAAGATGAGCTGTCAAAATAGGTGATCAATTCAGCTGTTTGCAAGTGATTCCTGGCAGAGCCGCTCATCGCGCACTTGACAAGCTGGACTTCAGGATCAGGTGCAGTCAAGCGTGAGACCATGGAACAGTACCGTCAACAAAATAGTATAAGACGGCCGACGGCCAGAGGCTAAAAACGGGCACTGACATACATCTTACTGTGTGCCTCCATTTTCAATGGAAACTCTTGAGGTACGGCTGAAGCGTGGAGGCTTGCGTAGGAACTCTCAGAATAGCGCTGGACTAGAGCACCACTCACTTCGAATTGTGTGCCTGGATAAGGATGAATGAGTTAATTGCGCAGCCTACATATGTACCAACTTTACCGCGCAGAAACTAGCATGTGGGTGGCTACTCTGATGTGCAGCGCATCTCCGAGTCAGCCGGACGAAGCTCCATGGGGACCTGTTCTGGAACTTTGTAAGGTCCTAGAGCCTGCGATAGTGAAGGAAATGGAATAGGGCTTTTGAGGTGGGGCTGCTCAGGTTGAAGATCGAGGGAGTAGTGTTATATGCTTGGGAATGCGAAGGTCTTGAGACACGATAAAACCCACCGGCAGAGAAATCGGGGTAGTTTTTGCTGTGACAGATATCGAAGTCGTGCAGTGACAGAAGCTGCAGAGGGCTCTCGCTGGAGGCCAGATATCTCGCGGCATAGAGAGCCATCATGCCTATGCAGTATAATCTTCCACCGTCATCCCAGTCTACAGCCAGGCTTGTTATAGTCAGACAAGGACCGACGCTGTCATGGCATTCTATGAGTGGTTTCCATCTCATTTCCATGCATTTAAAAACCTTATCTGTTGGGTACCTGGATAAAGGTGTGAATATCCATAGCAATTGAGCTCTCGGTAGCCTGCGACCGCGTCAACGGGGTCCAGCTGGGGAGGTTGGCTTGCTTGAAGAGAAGAGATGGTAGAAGTCAAACCTCTTCATCCACGGCAGCAGAAGTTTGGTCTGTGACTGAGTCCATTATGACAGTGGCGTCGTTTTGGCATTGACAATGCTAACGGCCATTGTGTTGGTCTGCTTGGTGAGGAGTGGTGATGCCGGTGGCAAACTTTGCGACTTGAAATTAGGTGCGCCGAAAAGCAAGCAAGGTGTGCTGGTTGTGGAAAGTGCGACAGAGCTCCGTTCCTGCCTGCCTCGTCATGCGCGGTGACTGCCAACTTGCGAATGCGAAAGGCAGATTCCGGCTGGCAGACACCAGTGAGCAATCTGCGCAATCACAAATGAATCATAAATGAGCCGACAGAGGGGCTTTCATCAATCTTTTCAGTTGGGCGATGACAGCATGTACGGCACTTAAATACCTAGGTACCCACCACAGATCATGCCTCCGGCTCTGAAGCGTGGTTGCACAAATGGGCCAACTATCATCAATCAGATGAAAGCCTTATAAAAATTGTTATCGTCAATTAATGCGAAGCGTGCTTCTTAACCACCTAAGTCTGAGGTCCAGAGTTGATCTGGCGGCATCTGGGCCAAGTGCACTGAACACGCTGCTCAAGTGCCACGCCTCCTTTCCTGGCCCTTTTCTTCCACTTTTATCTTTCCATTTTGCTTTGATGCTGGATCACACATCGTCATCGACTCTTGTATGTGGAGCAAATCTCCCCTTATCCAGTCACCCGGGAAGACCCGATATCGATGGATGGATGACGATAACTTCGTGGTCAAATCAGGCGCCCTCACACTCAAATTTGGAGTTGTGGTTTCCCTCAGACTCCTTGTCGGCCTGCATCTCGTCACCACCAGCCGGTTTCTCCCGAGCCTCCTCCTCGGCCTTGACGACCTCCTCTTGGTCGACGTGGTCACCATCAGACTTGTCGTCGCCCGAGTTGCCCTGCCCCTCACAGCTGTTACCATCCTCGGAGTTGTCAGCGTCCTCTGAGCTCTTCTCATCCTCATTCTCATCATCCTCATCGCCCTCTCCAGCGCTGCTCTCCTTCTCCCAGCTTTCCCGGCTGTCCTCGCTACCACTCATGAACCGACCATCAGGAAAGCCTCCGAAACCATCATCAGGCTCAGACTGGTAAACAGCCTCGCCGTAGTTCAGGTAAGACCACTCTACACCAAGACCCGTGGGGATATCGATGAACTCGAAGACGATGACCTCCACCCAACGCAGCGGCTTACTCTGGCTTGAGCCGAACATGCAGAGCGCCTTCACAAGGTGTTGGATCATGGGATGCAGCAGAACGTCATTGTAGGGGACGTACGAGAACCAATCTTCGTTCTTGATGAGAGCGGCAACAAACGCCTTCCGGACACCGCGAAAGTCCCTCCAGTCGAGGCCGCCGTCACCGTTGAGCTGCTTTCGCTCATTCGGGTGGCCTCGCCAATTCTCGAAGCCCTCCTCGTCATAACACCCGGAAGCCGACGAGAAAGGATCGTGGGCTCCAATTGGAAGTTCCATCGTCGACATTGAGTCTGACGCGACCGTTGTAAGTGACGATCAGGCTTCCAACATATGGAAACGGGCAGAGGTCCAGATCCGGTGTTTTTGCGAGGTACTCATGGAACTCATCCTCAGTCGCTTTGGCGTGCTCCTTCATGTCCTCCAGGATTTCTTTAGAATCGAATCCCAGACCGCGGTGGCGGTTCATGACCAGCTCCTGGAGCGACTCCAGCCTCGAGATCTTGTCCTCATCCCGAGGCAGTTGCACCGAGAACTGTTTGCCATGCAGCAGGGGTCCCAAGACTTCGTCGCGAGTCTGCCGATCGACCATGGTGATATTGGGCAACTTGAGCGTACGGATGAACTGCTCCTCGCCTCGGATCGGATGAGGCGCGCCTGGCACGCCATCAGCCACGACGAGGTCGAAGATGCGCTTTCTCAGCTCGGGCGTCAGACGGCGCAGCAAGTTTGCCGGCTGGAACAGAGACGCGTCAGCGTGTTGCGGCCTTGGTATTGGCGCGACGACCACCGCGTCGCGGGCGACCATATCGGGCAGACTTACGACAACTTGTCCGGTGATGTCGGCTTCCCCGCTCAATTTCACCTGTCCGTTCAACGCGGCCATTCCTTCCAGATTGGTCAGTCCATCCAGGTTGATCTTTCCGATGATGGTGACCCGTCCGCTCGGGTCGATCTGAGCGGTGAGATTGACCTTTCCCGTAATGTTGACCTGTCCGGCGATACTGACCCGTTTGGTAGTGTCTGGCGCTTCATCGCTCTTGATTACTTCGTTAGAGACCGCTTCGCTGGCACTGGTGGCTATTACCTCAAGCAGATCATTCACATGGGGGTTCGTTGGTTGCTGCTCGACAGCGGAGGCAGTTGCAGCCTCGGGGGTGGTCATGTTTGGGGTGACACCCATGTTGGCTTCGGTGGCCATGTCGAACTCGCTGGCGGCCTCGGTGTCCTTCTTGACATCAGAAGGGGACATCGTATTGAATTTGAGGTGCAAGTTGTGTTGAGGAGATTGAGAGGGTTGACAGAAGAAGAAAAGTTCTCGCTGCTCTGTCGTGCGAGGTTTCCGTTAAAAAGGTGGGTTGGAAAGTGAACGGAGCTAGGGTGAGCTCTATTGGCAGCCACGAGTCACATGGCAGAGCTGATCGAAAATTGCACGTTGACATGCTCTATGAGCTGGACCTCGCCGTTGAAGCGTCCTGCAAGCCTGCCCCGGCTGTTGCTGAGTCCTGCCCCGTCGTCCATACAGCTCTCCAGGTGGAGCTCGGCGGCGTCTTGGTTGAGGCGCAGGTAGGCAAACAAGCTTTGCTGCCATAAGTTCCTGCTCACGACGTTCACTTATCTCTCAACCCCCTCGCTCTCATCAGCAAGCAACATGGGAAAGCACTTGTTGCTGTTCTCCATCATCTTTCAACCCCAGAGGTCGACACCAGAATCAGAGTCAGTCTTGAAACAACACTTCCTTCTGCTGCTGGGCTTGCTCTTCCCCGAGCTCCTGCTGGTTGACCCTCACAAGGCCACCCAAGTTGATTCCCACTATCATCAGACTCGTCAGACACAAGAGCTAATTGGAGATGTTGTAGTACACGACTGAAGATTGCAGGGGCCGCTTACTATCAACTTGGTCAAGGAACCCACCAGACCTGCCTGAGCGGTAGCTCAGGTCCATTCCCGAGCCGACGCACCCCAACTCCAAAGTCCCACCACAGCCCATATTTGTGAGCTACGGGCTCACAATGGCGGTGGAAATTGAGCTCGCAGCTGGTGCCAGACATGGAGGAGCGGGTACCTCTGTACCAAAACATCTATCTGCCACTAGTGGAAAGACACGATCTCGTCATCTCCACCAGTGGAATCGGTAGGTGAAGCTCATCTCTGGTGGAATCAATCATCCGCGAGCGCCTGCGTCCGGGCCCAGACTGGGTAATTTGGGCCGCCCTTTTCTTCAAAGAAGCAGGGATTACCACCGAAGTTGTCGCCGAGGCCGGGTGCGGAACACTGACAATGGTCGACAATCCGGTCGGAATCAGGAGAGACCAGGGGCAACTGGAAACCCCGCCTGGGGTACCTCTATACCCCATTCAACGTTCATGGAGATGAGTATTCAACAATGGACTGGAGGATTCTGTTTCGATGACCGCGGTGAAACCCGACCTTGACTCTATTCCCAGATGTGTCCAATTCGCTGCTATGGACGTCCATGCGCCTTCAGATCTTGACTGACAAATTGGCGCGGATGCGGTGGATGGGCTGGGCCTGCTTGGGGGCCTCGCCCTCTTCGAAGACCTCCTGGACTATCCTGTCGTTGCTCGTCACGGACAAGGTTACCGATCTCCTGGCAGGACGAAGACGCCGGATTAGGAGCACATTCTGGGAGGACAGGTCATCGCCGAGCGTGGTCTGCTTGAGAAGACAGTCCTCAGTGAAAGTTTCGTCAAAAGCTATCATTGTCTTCGAAGGCTGGTTGCTGCCAATTCTCGTTTCCTGGGACCCTAGCGAAATATTATTTGCGACCCTCAGATTGGAGAAGCGCCACAACAACAGCATGCCTCCGCGTGAAAACAAACCAAGTGGCCGCAAAAAGCTCATTTCCAGCCCCGATGGAGAGCGCCGCAATCCGCAATGAGTGGTCCGTCCTTGCCAGGTATTCCGGTGAAACCACACCATGGATTGATCAAAGTCGTTGGCCCGAAGCTGGTATTGGTGATGCTCGGTTCTTTGTCGATTGAGATTGCCTTGGAGGGTTTCGCTGCGACCTGGCGCAGTCAACATGCCATCTATTCCACATCAAATGGCGGTCGCAAGCTACCACTACTTCATTGACTCCATCAATACTGGCAACCCTAACACTGGCATTACCAGGGCCTTCAGCATTCCGGACACTCGCTATCACCGAGGCACTCTTGCCTCAGTGGCCCGTTGGAATTTCGGAAGACCGAAGACAACGTGTCATCACAACACGACCATCTGCGTGTGGCACTCGTCTGCCTGACAGTTTCGTGCGCTGGAAATCACCACAATTGGATTCAAGTGCGAGGAAATGACAAGGCAGATGCCCTCAGGGATGTTTGCAAACTTGGGGTTTGCCCAGTCACAAACACCAGGGGTCTCCATGAACTCATCGTCATCAGTTCCGATCGTCGACTTGCAAGGAACTTGGCCGAGCGGGAGCGGCCACCTGGGGGATCGATTGTGCAGGAAGGCGAGCAGATCGTGCGGATCTTCCTGAGGGCTCGGGCGTCGATCTGGAAGACAGACCGAGAAATGGCTGTGTCTCGGTCGTATTCAGTGAACTCCTCGGATAGGGAAGAATGGGAGGCGTCCACGGTTCCTTCTTGTCTTTGCTTTGATATTTGGCGCTTCATTCTCGAAGCCTTTCAACCCATTGGGGGCAGAAAGGATGAAAAACACTGGCAATGGGTTGTGAATGGCCTTGGCAATACTGTCCGTTTCTGAGACGGGCCTCGTCCTCGTCGGCTACTCGACAGGCTCCACTCAACCCGGAGTACGTCTTAGGACCCCTGACTGCGATAGAAGCGTTTCTGGCACTGACGATCAATGTGTGGCAAGTCGTGGGCTTGTTCGGCATGGGCTGGTTCGGTATGTGCAGCACTATGAATACCGCCTGAGCCATGTTCACGAAGCCGAAATATCTATTGTCCAGGCTTTACCCCATCGGCTCTCATCCGGTGACTTTTCATAGTCTGGTATCGTTGATTCTCGGCACCTCGATCGAATTAGGTGTTGCTTGGTGACACAGGAATCGAGGGGCGATCTGAGAACGAACACGCCGGCCACGAAGACTTCATCCAGTGCCCCTCTGGCACACGACCAGCCAGCTCGCCACTGAGACAGGCTGGAGGGTCGTTCTAGGTGGCCAGGTGGATCGGGTTGTTGTCGATCCTCTCAGTGGCATTGAAGGATCAGCAAGCCACCCACACAGTGCACCTGGTCGCTCTGTGTTGCCAGGTTCACGGGAGTCCAAGACACAAACTTTTCGGCGTTGAGGTTGAGAGATGCCCCCATGGGCATTTGCGACGGAGCGGAGCATGCCCCTCTGGGCATTGATGATGGACCGCAGGAAGCCCCCAGGTGAAGATTGAGGATCTTGGCCCCGATTCTCGAGTTTGACCACTACCGTGGGGGTCGCGGGGCTCGCTCGGTACGCCATTGAAATTCGATGAAGTGTGTCAGTTCATCCGAACTGTGTCTCTAACCTTGGTGCTAACTCTTCGGCGAATCCGAGTGAGTTCCTCGATCCCCTCATCATCATCGATGTACTCCTCCAGGCGCACGGCGCCGTCTCTGACCTCTTGATGGACATCATCGTGTTGACGCATCAACTCGTCAACAACGGCCTCCTGTGCAGCAGGCGACAGCGCCCGCATCAGCTCGTGACGGCTATCCTTCCCATTGAAAGCATCAGATGCCACGAAGAGCGCAACCATCATGCCGCGAAGCATGTTGAAGGAGGGCTGGTTCTCCAGCACCTCCCACCAGCTGGTGAACATTTCTGCATTCAGGAGCTTGATTTCTTCGGCCTTGAGCTCGCCACGCGCCTTGAGTACCCCATCCCCTCCTCGGTGAGAGGGCGGTTCGCCGCCTCCGGATCTAGCTTCGAATTCATGGGCTTGAATGGCTCCTTTGAGCCATCACCCGCGCTACCTGTGCGAGATTCCCTTCATGTCTCGTGTTATTTTCTCCTCCTCGGTGAGAGGGCGGGTTGGCGCCTCCAGATCCGGCCCCGCATTCATGGGCTTGAAGGGCTCTCGTCCAGCAACCATGCGAGAGTCATCCACGCCCCGGGAATCGTCTTCGAACCACCGGAAGTCGGTATCGAAACCACGGACCACCGAAACCCTGGCTACGCGCCGGCACCAGCTGCTGATTGTACTGATTATTCTGTTGTGCTGGTTCTGCTGCTGCTCGGCATTGTATTTCTGCAACGCCTTCGCCTGGTACTCGACGGCGCTCGCATCATCGCGCGCCTTGCGGTCTGCATCAGTCTCAGCCCGAGGCCCTGGGCGTGTTCCAGGGCGGCCCTCTGGCCGCCAATTTTGTCCCGGGTGGTCGCTGGAGCGCGTCGCTGAAGTTGCTTGCAGGACGCAGCTGTGACTGGATCACCTGGAGGACCTCTGTGCGAGCGATATCGACTTCAATGATGGACAACTCGCTGCGAGTTGCCTTAATGGCGTCAATCAGAGCCGTAGCCTTCTGGCTCAGGTCTCTGAAACGGACGGCGAGCTCGATGAACAAGTTCGTGATGGTCAGCTGGAATCCCATCGCGACGCTGATGTAATGTCGCGCCCAGGCATCCTCCATGAGCTTGATGTGGTCGGCAAGATTTCGCTGGAGCTTGTCGAGGGTGTTCTTCAGCCACTCTTCCTCGTCCACAAAGTCCTTCAGGTCGGGCTCGGCGGTCTCGTGATGGAGTTGCAGGCTCCTTGCCAGGGCTGCGTCGCCAGACTGGCAAGTTGGTTATGTACCAGAAACCTATCTGGCTGGAACTGGGCCAGCTGTCCGTCATATCCTTCGTCCCATTTCGTGGCCCGAAAGGTGGTGGAAGACTGATTCTCACACCAGCGAGTTCTTCATAGTATCGGTGGCCCCGTCATCGACACGTTACTCTCCACGCGGCGTGAAGAAGTAGCGCTCCTTGACCTCGTCAGGCCAGATACATTCCGCAATCCTGGCCATCCAGAGGAACTTGTTGATGTAATCGCCCGAGTAGCCAAGGAGACCGTCAAAAACGACGAGAACGTGGTCAACCTCGTGCTGTCGCATGATGGGGTAGCTGACTTCCTTGTGGACCCGTTGGCGCCTTCGGCGTTGACAGCATCAATGTTCTCTTCAAATTCATCGTGAGCATGGCAGTTTATGGAGAGGAGTGCCAGCAATCCTATCGCTCTGAGGGGCTTGGCGACGGAACAAGTCTTGACCGGTCATGCCTTACCTGCTCTGAACGACATACCAAGGGAATGGTGCTCCTGGATTGATGCGGACCAGGCTCATCCTGTGAACTCATGTGGACCACCAGGAAGCAGCTCTCTAGATGCGGCTTGGAAGTCAGAGCAAACCCATGATGCCTTCGTATCTTGAGCGCATCCTCAAGTGAGTGGAGAACTTCGTACGGCATCGACGCACCCGATCTCTGGGCTCGAGATGCAAGGTTGAGGAGGTCTGGGTAATGGTCAGCATCCTCCCGTCCTCATTCATTCATGGAAGCCAAAAGACCCCAGGTATGAGACAAGGTGTGTGCTTACGTCTGATGCTAGTATCCTCCAGTCTTGTGTCCAGAGTTATGCCAGTCTTGTCCAGAGCCTCCAAGAGCCGACTGAACATGGCCTCAGTGCCCATCTTGTACCGGCGGTAGGTGTTGGGGGTTAGGGAGCTCATCTTCTCTGCTTTGTGAGCATATGGTCTCGCCCCGAGTTTCATCCTCAGCGACCTCCTCTGTCTTCAATCCAAGCTGGGGGACTTCGCGGATATCATCGGGGACTTTGATATTGTCCTCTTGAACTTGAACGGGTGCCCTTGCTGAAGCCTCTCCAGGCTTTTCTGGATAGCACCTCCAATGCCTTTGTACTCGATGGATTCTTTAGTGGTGTCGTCAGGCTCCTCTGGGCCTGAAGGGGGAACCTTGAGCGTACTGTCGTTGTCGGAGGCGCCAGAAGAGCCACCGCAGTCGTTGGGAGTGATGGACTCGGGCGTCGCGCTGCCACTCTGATGCTGGGCCTCAGGGGTGCTCAGGGGTGCTCTGCTGGGATCCTGGGATGCTCTTCTTGGGAGTGTATCGGAGGGAAGACTGAGCCACAGGTCAATGGACATTGGTCTCCCTTGTCCTCCCACTCCTGCTGGGTGGGCATGTCATCATCGACCACGCCCTCACCCCGCTTGATGGCGGGAAGCTTGCGCTCTGCGGCCTCCACTAGAGCGAGACCCTAATCTCGACCCAACTTCTCCTCCTGTTCGGTGAGAAGGAAGTGGCTAGGCTGGTCCTTATCGTGCTTGAAACCAGCGCGAAAGCGAGCGTCACAAGTCTTCTTGTGGCGGTCGTCCTTGATCTCGTCGCCGTCGTCCGGGTCGTTGATGGAGAAATGCCCTCGATGCTGGAAAACTCGCCATAGGCCTCATCAGCCCAATGCAGGTGCTTGATTGTCTTCCCAAGACGAGTCATCGCAGACAGCAGGACCGTGAACAGGGCAGCGGGTGGCAAGCCGGAATTCCTCAGTTGTCTTTCAGGGCTTCGAATGCGCTGCTACACATAGCCCGCCGTCAGCGGAATGTCTCTTCATTGGCTTGTCCACGATGTTGCTGAACTGTCAAGAAATCTCAGTGCTTGGACTTCTGCAGGTGTTGAGCGACTTCTACTCAACGATATCAAGAGGCACCTGTGTGCCATTGACGTTTTGGTTACACTTCTCCTCGGTACCTACGGAATTACCAACGTTGGTGGCATTCTGGATGTCTTCCTTCCAGTACCATGGCTTTGAGGTAGGGTCCATGGTCTGGAGCATGACTTTCCAGACTTGGTATCGTTCTTGGGTAGTGTTTGCCTTGACCATCTCCTTCCAAACCAGACATGTTGTCGTTATTTCGGCCCTATGGCCGATGAGGACCCCAACTGCAATCCAGATCCCACCTGGGCTCGGCTTTGACTTGGAGCGTGTTGTGGGCTCCACGTTGGGGCCTCGTGGTGTTTCTCTTTTGAATACACGTCCAGGAGGGATTATCTGGTGGAAGAGTTTCAAACAGCCCTGGTTCAGCCCTTGCATCGTTGCGAAGTCTGCTTGGAAACTGCCCATAGCCTTGTGCCTGGCTCGGTACGAGCTGAGTGTTGGGCGTGGAGCAATGGGGCTCGGAGCAATGTGGTCGGGAGAAATTGGACGTGGAGCGCTCGAAGAAACGCTCACTGGCACTCCGCGAAAACGGCCATAGGTGCGCCACGAGTGATGCGCCCTGAGGCGCTTCTGCGAGGCAAGCATCTGATAAGATCATGAGGTTACTCTACTTACTCCGACACGGAGACAGTGGTGTGGTATTCGTGGTGGCGGTGTCGCTGTCGGCCAGTGTTGCTGTTGTGTCGAAGGTTGCTGTGGCACGACGAGCACTCAGAGCCGCCCCCAGGTCGGCATTCTCATTGGCCCGGGCGGCCTCGACGGTGGTATCACGAGCTGTGTGGATGCGAGCTACTTCGTCGTCGAATTACTGAGCAATGAGGCCGGACTCGTTGGCATCGTCGAGCGTCTGGGACGAGGTAGCCACCATGTCTGCCGACTGGCCTCTCCAGGCCAGGCCGGATCAGATCCCACCACACTGGCAGTCGATGAGGTTGGAGAGTTACCGCCACGACTGGCGTGAATAGGACCCTCAGCAGCCTCAACATCAGGCTCCGCCTCAGCAGCGGCGGCGGCAACGGCGCCCTTGGAGATTTCAATGCCGGACATGTTCTCTTGAGGGGCCTCGCGATATGCATTAGGACACTCAATGATGCCGGGAAGCATAGCCATCTTGATGGCGAGGACCCTCTCTGCCAGGGGATCGTTCTTGGTCTTGGCCGTCGAGGGTGCCTCCTCGGCGGTCACATCGCCCTTTTCCATGCCCGTGGAAGGTGCCTCTGCACCTTTCAATATCAGGCTTGGCCGCAGTAGTGTCTCCCTCGGGGCGTTCAATGCCGGACATGGTCTCTTGAGAGACGTCTTGTCCACGACTTCGGACTCAGTCCCAAACAGCCCGCGGATCGTCAAGAGGGAATCCAATGTCGCCCCGGTCACAGTGCGTGCTCCTGTGAGCAATTCTCTGGGGCCACTCGCCACTCCCATCGTGCAGCGATCCCACCTGGTTTCTGGTGTTGCGGATTCGCTGCAAGTGCTCAAGGCGACAGATCCTGGTGTTTAGCTCGTTCAGCTCCTTGGCTTCCTGCTCTATGTGTAGCCGCAGGGTTCCTTTGGTCTTCCTCTTCAGGTACGTGAACTCGGTCGTTCGAATCTTTGCCGGAATGTCGATTCCGGGGCCGAGCGTCATACTGGCCGTCCCTCTGGACGGCGGCCAAGGTCCGGTGCTTGTTAAGATTGTACTCTCCGCAGCAACGATCGCGGCGGAACAGACGATCTGGAGATACACCTCGCGCTTGTTCGGAGCTTTATAGGCCGCGACTGTCACAGCCTACAACCCAGGTCCGGCCACGGGATAGGTGGTAGTAATGCAGAGCGTTCCGCAAGAGTAGGCTGTGTCAATGGGGCCAGTGAGGGTGGGCCCCAGTGCCAGTGGAGAGAAGGCGACGGCAAGCTCTGGGATTCGGTGCTCTCGTCGATCAGCGGGCGTGTTGGCGAAAACGATGCGGTGCAAAGATGCGCACGCACTCCACGGCTTTTGTGGACGGACTGGGGGCCGTTGTTGAGACAGGCCTCCAGGTGGACGATAGCACTGGCGTGGTGTTCCTCGGGCGGCGTCTGCCTCGAGGAGATTTTGCCCTCCCCTGGTTTCGCCTGGCTGTTCTGCGTCTCATTCTTGGCCATGGCTCCCATTATGATGCAACCTAGCCTCCCCTGAGGCGTCAGGTGATCATACTGTCGGACAGGAGGAGAGTGAGTGCGCCATCGCCATTTCCTTGTCGATTGTGCAAGACTCCTCTTGATCCTTGATCACGATGGTGATCAAATTCGGGCCTGGAAAACCCCCCTTCATCAAGACAATGTCGGTACTTCGATCTGGCAGAGGAGTCCGTGTCGGCGGCATACTGGTCTCTCTTGGCCTGATGCCAAGGTTTGCATGCTTTTCCAGGGCAACCCTTCTTCACGAGGTCCAGCATCCTTGAGAATGCTGAGTCCTTCTCGTGGTCACGAGCCCGGATCTGTTGTTCAACTTCATCCTCAAGCTCGGGGTTGACATGGAGCTGTGGTTGCGCGAGGCTTCGAGCCTGTTTGAAGAAGTCGTTGGTCCGGCCTCCAATCAGCACAGCCATGAAGAGAAGGACGTCATGTCTTGGTGTCCAATGGAGGACGAAAAGCTGCCGAAGGAAGTGCTCGGAGAGCTTCCAACTCTCCGTTCACTCGGCCGCTGGACGAGGAAGAGCTGTCGACGTTGGGTACGCTGCCCGTCGCCGAACCGAACTCGAAGGATGGGCCGACAGCCTGGTTATCAGGAAAGCTGGGGAGGCCATGGTTGGGGAGACCATGGGCTAGGCCTTCGGGAAAGCTGTACCCTTGGATGTACTCACTGCCGAATCCTGGGGCAGGTGGCCATCTCTGTGAGCCTTGTACATTGATGGATTTGGAGAAGTTGTGATTATCGTTCGCCGAGGTTGATGTGGCGTTCCAGATGTTTTCTGCATTGACCTCTGTCTTCAAGCCACCAGTCCTGGGGTTCAGATTGGTCTCGCGGCGACCATGAACTTTGCCATGAATGTTGCTGCTTGAGGATGCAAGTGAGACATGGTGCATGCTCTGGCCGGGGGCCAATGTGAACTCGTCGAGAGCAGGGTCATGGCCATTCGGACAAGGTCCGAAGGCCGGGTTGTTGGCCGGACCAACAGAACCGGGGACCTGACTGTTCTGGCCACCCCTGTCAACCGAGGTGAGCCGACCCTTTGGTCGTCTTCTCAGACGGAGGCGTCAGCAAGACTGAAATGCGCGAAACAACGGAGGCGAATACTTACGGGACCGGCAACACTGCCCCTCCAACACCAACTTCAGTACGAGTTCCCAGGCGATTTCCCAGGCAGCCCTCTAGCTGCGGGTTGGGACCAGCTACTGGGAGTGAGGTTGGCCAAACTGTTGGAATGGCGTGGTGGCATTGCGGAAAGGCTGACGGGCATGTTGAGAAGGAGTGGGAGTCGTCGGACCGCCGATGTCTCCGAAACGGGCGTTCGACGTCTGAGAGCCGCTCTCCGCATGAGAGAAGCGGTTGTGGACAGCTTGAGCGAGCTGAAGACGAAGTTTTCGAGGGTGTCGGGCGAGACTCGTTTCATATACGGTCGAAGTGGTGTGGGGGCGGACGCCGAAAGGAGACGGTCGACCTCTGTCGACTGTTGAGGGAGTTGGGTTTTGAGGAATGGTGAGAAGAAAGGAAGATGGAGAAGAAAGAAAGAAAAAGGGAAGGATTCTGGGAAGAAGCTGGGGGTTTAAGTAGTTTTTCGGAGGGCCCACCGACGATGGTGTCGTCTACCGGAATCCCACGGAACCTCGCGATATCCCATGGAATCTCACGATATCTGCCAGTCAAGGGATTCAAAGTTCAGACCGCGAGGCGGCTCGCACGTCCTGATTGGCCGTCAATAGCTGCCCAAAGCATGATTGGCCCGGGCCAAGACGTCTGCTTCACGATCAGATCGCGGATCTCATTGACTGGAACCACTGGGAGTACTGGCAATGGCAGCAGGACACCATTCTCTGCCCTTGCAGTCACTGTTGTGCTCCACAGGAGTTGGGATCGCGAGAAAGCATACTCGGGCCACAGTGACCGATCAGGGGCTCCAGGCAGCGAGATTTGACGAGATCCCGAAGGGTCAAAACATTCACGGTGTGCCCAGGCTCACAATGGTCAGGCTATGCGGGATCAAGTAGGCCTACTGTGAGGGAGAGAAGGAGGTCATAGTCGACATGGATCACATTCTCCACGGGAGCCGTCAGTCACAAGTTGATGATAGCACGTGGATGGGAACTGGGTGACCAGTCATGTCACAGTGTTCTTTGGGAGCATCAGTTGGTGAGCAGATCATCAAGAATGGACTCCAACTTGGACAGGACATGGGAAGTTGGGAAAGCATCTAAATCGTTGTCCGGCTGAGGAATGTGTCAAGGTTCACAAAGGCATCTGGGCCTTTGGGGATGTTGGACGTTGCTGACAACACAAAGCCAAGGCGGCTACAGTAATCATGCCAAGAGCCGCAGAGCCAGTCAGGGAGCCCTCGCTTCAGGCCGAGCAGAGATCTCGGTGGTCGAGTGGAAGGTCGGAGCTGGCCGAGCTCCACTTTGGAGGTCAAACGACGACCACTACGTTCTGTTTTCATTGCAGCAACTGTAAAGTGTGTTCGCCTCTTTGGGCGTTGGGTCAAGGCCGTCCTGGACGCTGTTTTCTAGATCTTCTATCGAGATGGACCATCGCACTCCTGTGGCATCTCCTGTCTTTTGTGGGCTTGAATGAGACGAGAGTAATGACCCACAGAGATTGCCGAGTCGCAGGAGAAGAGGTTGGGGTTTGGCTCTTCGGATAGCAGCTCACTGAGGCTCACTTCGGCAATCGGCTATGATAAGACAAAAGCGAGTAACTACGGCGCATGGGCCTGACCGGCCGTCGGCAGCTGGACTTGTTAACCAACGTGATACGAGACTTAGAGTAAGGCCGCTTATCGGGATCGGGCTTGCATAAGCCTACCCGAGCGAAGGAGTCGCGCAAGTGGGGATCGTAGCTCCGACTTCACAGCGCCAACGAAGAGACATTGCCAACCCTCCAGAGCCCACTCACAGCATCGACAAACCCCCGTCATTCATGGGCACACACCTCTCCTCACCCGGCGTATTGGACGAGAACCAGTCTCGTCAATTGCCCATTGGCACACCCACCGGACCGCTGAACGGCGCCCGAACCCGATGACCGACCGACTCACTCACCATGGCCGATTCCTCTCAACCAGCCTCCGCCGCCGCAGCTCCATTTCCACACATCCGCAGCTGCGAATCGTGCCGCCAGCGCAAAGTGAAATGCGACCGCCGCCAGCCCTGCTCGCACTGTACGCGGTCGGGCCAAGACTGCGTCTACCCAGCAGGGCCGGGGCGGGCGCCGAAACGGTCACGCCGCGCCGAGAATGCACAGCTCATGGACAAGCTGAGCCGGCTTGAGCATATCATCAAGCGTCTTGCATCCGAGAACAAGGGAGATGCTGAAGCTGCCGTAGACCATACTTCTGAGGAAGATGTGGACCACACTGAAGCGACTCCTCATTCCTCCAGACCAGATAGCGAAGACAAGCAACGACCGTCCAAATCGGCGAGCGAGACGCCGAAAGCCTCGGGCAAGAATGCCTCGTCCCTTGATGTTCAGTTCGGCCGTCTTGTGATCAATGATTCCAAGAGCTATTATGTCGGCAATGTGCTCTGGGCAAACTTGGCAAACGAAGTACGACCAAACGGCAGCTGTTGTGATTACAATTTGACTGATTTGAGCTGCAGATCCACGGCCTCCGCGACATGGTGAAAGAAGCTGAAGACCAAAGCGACGACGACGAAACCGATGTGCAACCCGTGCCTCCAGCTCAAGCTTGTGATTCATCGGGAGCCAACGCTGCTCTCTTCGGCTTTCGCGCACTTGCATACTCCTTGCTCTCATTCCACCCCTCTCTACCACAGGCGGTGAACCTGTTTGCAGTCTTCACTGAGAACGTGTCACCGGTGATTCGCCTGTTCCATATGCCAACGCTGTCGAAGTCATACTGGGAAGCCATCGCCTCCCTCGATTCCCTGGACAAGAACACAGAAGCCCTCTTATTTGCCATCTACTACTCCACGACAATCAGCTTATCGAATGCCGAGTGCTTGTCACTCTTAGGTACGGCGAGAGATGCTGCCACAGAGAAGTACCGCTTCGCCGTCGAGCAGGCGCTGGCCAGGGCGGACCTCCTCAACACACACAGCATGGTGCTCCTCCAGGCCGCCGTCCTGTTCCTGTCAGCCCTGCGGAACCAAGACGACTCGCGCACCACGTGGTCGCTGACGGCCTTGGTCTTCTACGTCGCGCAGAGCATGGGCCTGCACCGCGACGGCACCGTCTTCGGGCTGCGACCGTTTGAGACGGAGCTTCGGAGGCGGCTGTGGTGGTACATCTGTGTCCTCGATGGCCACTCGTCGAAATACCAGGAGCACGAGGCAAACCTCCATCAGTTTTTCTCCGACACTAAACTCCCTCTGAACATAAATGACGGCGATTTGTTTCCAGACATGACAGAGGCCCCGCCTGAGAGGGACGGCTGGACCGACATGATGTTTTGTCTGGTCAGATGCGAGGCTATCAACACTGCTTCGAGCACCAAGCTGATCGGCCCTGGGCTTCAGAGAGGGCCATGGAGGGCTGGTGGGGACAGCAAGTCCGCTGAGCTGGAGGTGGAGGAGCGAAAAGCGATAGTGCAAAGCTTTGTCGAAAGAGTAACTGACAAGTACCTGCGCCATTGCGACCCGTCAGTGCCGGTCCTCCTCATGTCTTCCATGGTAATCAAGCTCATCTTCGCTCGCTTCTGGCTCCTGGTGTACCGCCCCCAGCCGGGTCCCAACAGCAACGACACAAGCCGCGAGACCAGCGCGACACCGGCGGATGCACGCCGCAGCAGCAGCAGGGGCACGACGCCGTCCGACCATGAAAGCAAAACACCGGTCGACGCAGAGACCCGGCACAAGCTCTTCATCATCTCCGTCGAGGTCCTCGAGCTCTCGACCACCATCCTCACGCACCCCAAGCTCGTCAGGTGGGCGTGGTACTCGAGGACCTACGTCCAGTGGCACGCCATCGGCTACGTCCTGGCCGAGATCTGCTGCCGCCCGCCGTCGGCCGAGTGCGACCGCGCCTGGGCGGCCGTCATGGGGGTTTACGACTCTGGGATACTGCGGACGAACGAGCCCAAGGGCGCGGTGTGGAAGCCTATCAGGCGGCTGATGGCTAAGGCTCGGTATGTTAGGGGTATGCAAGGGCGGCAAGGGGCTTCTGTTGAGGGTTCTGGGGTGGGAGGTACCGTTTCGGAAGGCTGGGATGGGTCACAGGATTCACGAGGAATAGGGAGTGGAGGTCTTGTGCAAGGCGGCTCAACTTCCCCCGCTACTTTCTCGACTCCTCCCCTTGGATCGGCCTTGCAATCTACTGCTGAGCTTGGTCCTGGTGTGCCAGGCCTACATTCATCGAGCTCCGGGGATTACATGTTGGATCTGCTGGACTTTCCGGGCAACATGGGCACGGATGACTTCACGAACTTTGGCATGGCGGCGGGAAACACGGGTTTTCCCTCGACATGATGGGCGCTGGGTCTGCGATGGATGGTTGGGATGGTCGCATGTGGTGAAATAATCGAGGTTTGATTACTTTCACAGTCTTGATGTTCATTCCATCACAGCGATTCGCTGCACCCAGACTCTCTGACACAAATCAACCCCCGTGCTCTTCAGCGTCTTCCCACATCATCTCGGCCGCCCCGCGATGCTCGTTTGAGCGAGTGTATCCAGCGAACTCTCTGTCCCAGGCATCGTGGTCAATAATATGAACCGAGTCTCCCTGGATCCACTCCGTCTTTGGCGACCGGCCCTCGCCGGCGGAAAGGGCCCACAGCGAGTCCGAAGGCGAACGGAGAGGACCCAGACGGTGCCACGACTGGATCAAGATGTCCCAGCCAGCACCAGCCGACGGTCCTTCATCCTTCCCATCAGTCCACTCCATCACCAACTTCCAATCCGCATGACAGGTCTTACAGGTCCCCGCAGCCCGCCTCCTGCATGTAAACAGGCATATCCAGCTCAGCTCCGAGCTGAAGGGCCCACAGGTGCGGGAACTTCCCGCGGATGTGGACGTGCTTGCACACGCTGAGGGCGAACTCGTCCTTGTCTTTGGTGGTGGATATCCGGTCGTGCCCCGTCACGATCATGAGGAACAGCTCCCCTTTGATCACCTTTGCCTTCCAGACCTGCTGCCATGAGCTTTCCCGGGTCCCGGTCTGGATCCTCCGCTCTAGCCACTTGAGGTAGCCCTCTGCGGAGGGCCGCTTGAAGAACACCGCGTTCATTATCGCACGCGCATCAAGATAGCTCAGCGCCGAGGTCATCTCTCCTGGTACGTGTGTGGTGAATAGAGACACCTGGTGTTTGCCACTTTCGGCGCAGTTTGACTTGCGGTAAGCTTTGTGGAGGCTGTGGAAGGTCCTACAGAAGGGGCAGTAGATCTGATCATATTGAAGATCCTTCTCCAGCATCGTCTGCACCTTGAACTTGTCTTCCCGGCTGGCGGCCTTGAAGAGGGTTCGGGCGTTGGCGAAAAGGTGGTCGTGAAGGCCTTTGCATGCGAGAGAAAAGGCTACCGCGTCATGGACGTCCAAAAGGTCGAATATCATGACTATCACGTCCAGAGGCAGGCCCATGACTTTCGATGTTGATTGATATTGCTCTTCATGTTGTTCTTCATTTTGGATTTGGGTCGCCGCCGAGGCCGACTCCTCAGTCTGGACAGCTTGTAGCGATAGGTCTGGTTGTTCTTGCTTTTCGATTTGACATTTCGTTTTCCGCCGGAACTTGCCGGCACGACTGAATATTTGACCCATTTGTATGGTGAATGGGTGTGAGCTTGGGGCGGAGATGTTGTTGAGGAGCAGTCTGGTCTTGGGAAACGCGGAATTCGCGGCCTCGGGACGGAGTGATTTTCAAATTTATCATGCCCAGGAACCTGGATTTCTGCAAACACACATGAGGGACGAGAGATCTTGTGAGTAAAGGACAGTTTATCGACATGCGATGCCAAATGGTCATACGATGCACTAGTATGCACCCAATGTATGATAGTGCTTTGCTACGTGAAATAGCACAACTATCATCTAAGTCCGGCAAGTTCTCGACTAGACTAAAAGCACAGGCGTCCATGTAAGCTCCCCAGTAAAGCTTAATAGGTGATTATTTATGTGTTTTAGAATGGGCACCCCAATGACCACTCAATCTTAGCACTTCAACCTCCGGGAATATTCCAAAACACCAGTCCATCCACGACTACAGTATCTTCGAAACTAACTCTTTGACCATACATCTCGAGCTTCGAAAATATGAGTCGTCCATGGGATGACGTTACTTGGATTTTCATCGTGCGTGATATCCCACCTTTCAGGTCGCACGACCAGCTCCGGCCAGATTTGATGCGGATATCGCGACAACTTGGGGATCTTTCACAAAGAACATACTTCGCCAAACGACGATTGGAAAAGCTGTCAGAAGAACCATCCGCGGCAAAAATGACACTCCAAAACCAACCATGGTATAAGGGTCTTTTTGGAACTCAGCCGTCGCAGGATTCTGACAGCCTGAGGCGGCTCGTTCAGAGTCTGGACATCAAGGGACTCTAGTGAGGGATGCAAATTGCAAGATTTCAGAATTGCCCAGAATTCCATGGTGGATCCAGTATTTAGTGGCGCCTTCACCTTCCAGATAAACTGGCCCGATTTCGAAATGCTGCTCTCTCACAACCACCACTCCAAACTCTTTCCCAACTCTGCTGAAGTTTCACACGCTTTCAAAACATTTCAGTTCAAACCCACCCACTACTCAAAACCAAACACGCAAATTATCCTTCGGAATAACCAGTGTGATGGAATCAGCCTCAACGGCCGCCATCCTAATACACGCTCTTCCAAACAAATCCAACAACACCCACCACCGCCAAAATTCGTCCTCGCAAGCCATGGCACAACATCAACCACAACACCCTGTCGGCAGACAAAGCAACGTGTCGACAGCCGACTCCGCAGTGGCACTACCCACACAAAAAGACCAAAGTCCTGCGCGAGAACAACACGCAAGCGAGAAGAAGCCCCTGTACCACGACCTCCGGGACCTCATCAGCCGGAGGCGCCGCCACTGGCTGCTCACCCGCGACATCGAGCTGGCCCGCCCGCTCCAGCAGCAGTTCCTCGCCTTCGAGGCCGGGGTGATGGGGGAAATGCACGAGATGGAGCACGAGCGCGAGGTCAAGCACCAGCTACGAGCATCAGAGATGCAAGGGGCCACCGGCCTCTCCAAACTGTCCTGGCAGTTGTACAAGCTCAAGATGAAGATCTGCGGGAAGTGGATGCGGCACCGGCTGCATGGGAGCTGGAAGCACAGCCGGCTGAACGCGAAGAGGAAGGAGCTGAGCGAGGAGTACGTGCGGGCGCAGATTAGCAAGAGGCTGGAGGTTGTCAGGGAAGTTATCTGGTATGCGAATGAGGAGGCTGTGGAGGATGGTGATGATGGCGCTTATGTAAGGGATGGGATACTGAACTATATCGTGACGGGGTACGACAGCATGTTTCCTATTTCTCGGGATTTAGTGGTCGATATGACTCAGACGTGAGAATTATGGAGGACAATTTTGTGCACTCTCAGCGTTATTAGTCTGTACCATCGTGGGTTTCTTTCTCAAGATGGGCTTTTAGTGCCCGGTTTCGTTCTTGAGGGCCGATACACCATTCAAAGGAAGGATAGTTTTAGTAGCAGTACCCATCATCAATACAACAATAAATTTCCAACATCATTCTTCCTCATAGCCTTGAATTTTGGCTATTCACGTCGGACTTATGTTGGGCCAGTGTATCCTCCTCCAACGCCGGCCTATCGGGACGCCCTGCAGTTGTCTTGGACACGTTAATAGACACTCTATCTCTCAATCCTCGACATTACTTACCCCAGCATCCACAGGCATAAGGAGCCCTGTAATCCATCTGGCCTCTTTGCTGCAAAGAAAGAGGGTCGCTGAGGTTGCACCAAACTGTCAGCGAATACATCTGCGAATTATAAAGAGCAGATCTCACCGTAGCCAACGTCCCACGCAGTCCCCTCCGTCCCAAGGAGATTCTGCTCGATCCTCGCCTGCCTCATCTCATCCGTCATCCCTCCACCCCGGGTCCTCACCATCGGGGTATACACCATCCCGGGAGCCACGCAGTTCACGCGTATGCCCTCTTTGCCGTGGTGCACCGCCATGGCTCTCGTCATCTGGATGATGGCGCCCTTGCTCGTGGCGTACAGGAGGCTCGGGTTGCCGCCCATCATCCCGCTCACGGATGACATGTTCACTATGGCGCCTCGGTCGGACTTGCGCATCTCAGGAATGACGTGTCGGCTCATGAGAACCATGCTGGTCACGTTGATGCGGAAGTCCCGGTCCCATCCGGCTAGGTCGAGCTCCGTCGCGTCGCCTACGACACCGCCGACGCCGACTGCATGTTTACAAAAGATGGTCAGAACATTCTTCACAGTCAAAAATGCAAGATATTTCGCCCTTGGAGTCTGCTCAGCCAACTTGGAGTGACCCGACTACTTGCCTATATTTACGAGGATGTGCACAGCACCGAACAGATCGACCGTCCTAGCCACTGCCTTTCTGCACGATTCTTCATGTGTGACATCCGTCTGAATTGCCTCCGAGATTCCGCCTTCTGCGTCGATCATTCGCTTCGTTTCCTGCACCCACTCGAGGTTGTTGTCGAGAAGCATGACCTTGGCGCCATGTCGGGCGAGGAGGACCGCGGTCGCTCGGCCGTTACCAATCTCGCCTTGAGGGGAAGAAATCAGTATCTGATCCTCAAGTTGCTAATGGCTGGCAACTCTTTTCGATGCCACACTCGTGCTAGACCATATTGCCCTCACCTGGCATTCGTGAGCCTGCTCCTGACACAATGGCCACGTCTCCGGCGAAATCGAACGCTCTTGGGGGTGTCATTTTCGGGACAGTGTGGGTATCAACAGATCCAAAAATCGTCAATATGTTTAGTCAGTGATGTCAAAAGATCAGTTCGCACTGATGCGAAAGTCCAGCCTTCTAAATGGTACGTCTACCGAGGTCTGGAGGTTTCCCCTCATCTCGGGTTATGTACCTGCAAGCCGATCGTCACCATCTTCATTTGCCCCGAACTTTCCCACCTCCAGCTGATGAACATATCCGTCACTTCGAATGTATTTGAAAAGAAAACTCAAGATATTGATCCTGGGTCAACAATATGCGTGTCAAAGTTCTCATGGCTACATAATACGCATTTACGCACGTAGCTAAGTCACTGGCATCCCTAATATTCATATTTGTTTTGACGCCCACCTTTTGATGCGTATGTTGCCGTAATCTAAATCCGAACCTCGTGTGCCCGGATACAAATCAGTACTCCAATGCACGTATGTATTAGTTCTCCAAATTGAAACGTTCAGAAGATGGCTCATCCTGGTGCGGCGGCGTTCCACCTATGCCAGGCTTGCATAGGTGGGACGCTGTACCCCGGTAATGAAATATTGCAGCCTCACCATATGCATAAAAACTGCCAACTCAAGCTTATTACAGATGGGCCCATAGTCACGTTGATACGTTGCAGGATTCCCCGTTATTCTGGACCGCCGGCAAAGCCTGACGAGAAAGGGCGGGCGTTCCGACAATTTGCATGAAAACACAGCATCGCCCGCCCAGCTTCCTGAACGATGGCGTCAACTGGGATGAAAGGCGAGGACTATCGGCCAGCTTCGCAAGCCGCACCGCCAGAAAATAACAGCAGCAACTACGAACTCTGCGCGCTATGCTTGCGGGCCCTGATAATTAATGATAAGTTTTGCCGGCGGCACCATACTGGTGAATACGTCGGATGGAATAACTGCCTTGGATCTTTCCGGCTTTACACACAATGATTTGACAAGTGAATCACACAGCGGATTTCGATAAGGACGACGCTTATCCTTCCCCGAGGAAGATGAAAAGGATGCGTCCGGATGGTCGAGACAGCAATCATACTCTGAATCGTACGACCCGACAAGCCGATACCGTCGGTTCTGTGCTGGAGATCAACACGAACGCCTTGTGACACTTCCATGGATGCCTGAAATTTCTGCATCAGCCGTCGGAGCATGTTGTTTCTGCTCCAGGTTTCGAGCCCTCTTCATTGATCAATACGCGGAGAGTTCCTGGTGGCACGATTCACCTGGTTCAACTCTCTGTTGCACTATACAGTATGAATGGACTCAACATCGGACCATTTCCGATGGTGAAGATGAAGCTGCAATGCCACTGCCCAGCCAGAGTCTTGATGGGCTGGCTGTAATTGTTAGTTTCCCAGGATAGAACCTCAGCTGGGTAGATGTCTATTAATTCGATATAGTGGCATGGCTAGGTATGTCTTATTTAGTATTTTTCCTGAAATCATTCGCTAATTAACGCTTTTATATATAAAGGGCCGTGCTAGGAATGGCTGAGCATTAAAATTATACCATTAAGCCCCGATGGGTTAATGTTTGAATGAAGCACCAGCTTTATGAGATGACGCATTAATGAATGCATTAGCAACTATACAATTTGCTAGAAAAAGAGCTTTAAGCCTATATTTATCCCTAGGCCCTTACTGGATTTTGGAGATTGTAATGCTTCGTCAGCAAGACTTATAAAGTATAGCTAAATTTAAGACTTCCCACCCTATTTTAAGACTTAATTATAATATGCTACCCTGAGTTATTGTTGGGCTTAGTTACTTATAATGAAAACCATTATAGCTGTTGGCTGGGTCACGTATTGCAATATAACGTTTGGTTGGTATAGTGGTTGATTATTATTAACTATGGAAGGGAGGAAGGCAGAAGGCCTGATTATGCTAGTTATTTTATATATAGCGCCAGGGCTGCTGCTTATTAAGCATCCTAATAAGCCAAAGCTGCTTAATTTTAAATAATCCTTTATATAAATAATACCTATTATTCCCATATTAATAATCTTTATTTTATAAGTATATATTACTTTTAAAAAGTATAAAAAAAAGGAAGATATTAAGTTAAATTAAACTTAAGATTAAAAGATAATTAATTAATTATATATATAAGTTAAATTACAAGTATATTATTATTTCATTATATTATATTATTATAAAAAGTAAATATATAAAAAGGCTTAGGTTATTATTAAAAAGTTAAAGGTTAATTAGTTTATTAAAATATATAATTAATAAAAAGAAGTTAATTAAGTATATATATATATTAAAATATTTTAATTATATAAAGTTAAAAAGCTTAAAAAGTTATAATTGCTATATAAATATTTTATTTACAATGCATTTTATAAATTTATACTTTTATTATTTATAATGCCTAAGTTAAATAAGGATTAAATTAAATCTTTAAATTGCTAATATAATTATTTAATTTTTAAATAATTAAAATTTCTTAATTTAGCTTAGCTTAAGCTTTACTATGCTTAATGCCGCTTATTAAATAAAGAAATTAAGGAGTATAATTAAAAAATAAGTTATTAAAATAAGGGTTAAGAAAATAAAATTAATAAGTTATAAAAATTAATAAATAAAGTATTTAAATAAAGGGAAAGTAGGGTATAAAATAAAGATTATTAATTAAGTTAATAAATAACAATACTTTTAATTTTAATATATAGGTATTAAATTATAAAATTTAATTAAGAATGCTTATTAAATATAAGTTAATAACTTAAATATTTATAAAATAATAATAACCCTTATTATTTAAACTCTTAATACATAAGCATTATTATAAAAATCTTAAATATAAGGTTTGCTTTTAAAAGGAATATAATTTAAAATTAATTAATTATATTATATTATAAAGTAATTTATAAGTAATTAATAAATATAAATTAAACTTTAGCATTTTTATTATGCATTACTTTTAATTAAAAAAGTTATTTTATTATTTCTTATTAAAAACCTTTAATGATTTTTTTATCTTTATAATTATATAATATATATACTTAAGTTAATTATATTAATATTAATATAATAACCTTATAATATATAATATAATAATAATATTTAAGGTTATATTAATATAATTTATTAATAAGTTATTAAACTATGCTTTAATAATTTAAATTTAAGCTTTAATATATTATAATTTTCTTAATTTTTTATTATATTTAAATAGTTACCTTATCTTCTTAATTATAATTTATATAGTCTTGCATTTTAATTATAATATTATTTATATTTATAAAGCATTAAAAAGTATTATTAAAAATACTTTTTATAAAGATATTAATTAAATTATAATTTTTAACGATTTAATAAATTTTAAAGATTTTATACTTTTTATATAATTATTAAAAAGCTATAATATTAATTATAAAGCACTTTTCTTTTATTATATTAAGCTTAATTAAATATTTATATAAGAAGTATAAGTTAATATATATTATAAAAGAAATTATTATAATATTTAAATATATAATAATTTAATATAAAGTAATTATTAATATTATAGCTATATTAAAGCTATTAATTATATTATAAATTTCTAAAGCTAAAATACCTTAAGTTACTTTTTAACATTTAATTAAGAATTAATAAATAATATTACCTTTAATATTTTACTTAAAAACCTATTAAATTTATATTTTATTTATAAGTATAATAATAAAGCTAATTTATAAGCTAAGGTTTTTATTATTAATAAATAAGTTATTAATAAAGATTATTAATTTAGCTTAAAATAAATTTAAGGGTATATATTAAAGTTTATATTTTAAGTTATTAGCTTGCTATTATAGCTAATAATTTAGCTTATTATAATCCTTATAAAAAAGCTTTTAAATTTAAGCTGCTATTAATAAATTAAATGCTGCCTTAAATTAATAAATAAAAGTAAAGTATGCTTTTTATATATATTGCTTTATATATTATTAAGCATAATTATTAACTTTGCTATTAATAAGCATAATTTTTTTATCTTAGCCCTTTTAATAAAAATATAAAATACCTTTATTAAAGATATTTATAATTATATTATTAAAGATAAGTAATTTATTAAAAATAAGTATTTCTTTTAGCTTGCATTAAATATTTGCCTTCTTAATCTTTTATTTTTTTAGCTTTAAGAATATTAAAGTATTAAGAGATAAAGTATTATTAATTTATATAATAATAATAATAAAAATATCTTTTCCTTAATTTATAATTAAGAAGTATAAGTTATATATTAAAATAATTATATTTAAATTATTATAATAAAACTTATAATAAATTACTTATTAATATATATTAAATTTAGCAATATTATATAATAATTTAATAACTTATATAATAGTTTTAAAAAAGTATTTATTTTAAATCTTAAGGGGTAAATAATATAAAATAAGTTATTTAAGCTTAAATTTTAATTAAGGATATACTTAAATAATATTTTAAAGCTTTAATTAAAAGCCTTATATTAAAAGAAATAAGGCTAAAGTAATTAAAAGCCTTTAGTTAGCTTTTTAAATAATTAAAAATTATATAAAGATATTATACTTATTTTTATTATTATATTTAATAATAATAAGCTATAATTTCTTATATAGCTTTTTAATTTTATTTTTAATTTTATAAATAATGCATAACTTAAAAAGTTAAATATCTTTATGCATTTTAAAATTAAAGCGTTTAAAGTAAAAGATATTATTATTAATTAACTTTATAATTTCCTTATAATTAAACTCCTTAAATAAATTACTTAAAGTATTAATTATATTATTATATTAAAGCTTTAAAGAAAGATTATAATTCTTAACCTTTCGCTAAGTAAAATATATTTCTTTTAGCTTATTTTTTAATTCCTTAAATTATTTATATTATTAAGGTTATAATGATTTTAATATTGTTAGGATTGAATTTAGTTTAAATTAAATAAGCTTATTAAAAATATTATTTAAGTTAAAAACTAGCTAAATATTATCTTTACCATTCTTATCTT